GTCAAGCTCGTAAAAGTGTGGCTTGTCGAAGGTGGGAGGAGGCGTAATCACCAGCTGGAGGCGACGTTTTGTGCAGTTTCGATGTGTCCTCTATTAAAGGATTTAGGTAGAATGGGTGATTGGGAGAAGTTGTCAAGGGAAATGATTTCCAGTGATAAATATTTGTGGGAGGAATCTTTTGAGAGCTCCTGAGCTCGCTAGAGATCATTGCTAGACCCCAGTTTTCATCCAACTTTTTAATAAAAGAATGAGATTATGTGGTTGTGCTTGACATACATTTTTCCACTCATTCATTTTTCTGGAAAACTTGACCATTGTTTGCACAGCTTCAGAGCAATTAGAATTAATGGACTTCTAACGCCTATTTTGTTCTTCATTTAATTACAGAATTTACGAGACTTCTGCTGTAAACATTTTCAGCCCGGAAAGGATGGTCAGCAAACAACTACAAAAATTAGAAATGGAAAACAACGGGAAAGGTTAACCATTTAACATACACAAGTGTTAAGCTATTATGGATATACTCAGTCAACCGGAAAATTATTATGAAAAAGAAATTTGCAGAGTGAAAAATGGCAAGCAAAAATTACTTAATATTTTATACAAAACTAAAGGAAGAATTATATTTATACAAACAGCGTGGGAGAAAGTGCAAGGCAGGCCATACACACACACACTCACACCTACACTTAAACACATTTTACATTTTACACACGCACACACACACATATTACAAAAATTAGCTTTGAAAGTTTTTTCGATTGTAAAGAGTAATATATTCGTTTAAGTACATGAAGCCAGAACCACCCAAAATTAAGTGGAAAACTTAGGATTATAAGTTGTTTTTTTTTTTTTGTAAGTATGTGGAAAAATTTTTTATAGATTATACACACACACTCACACAGCATACACACAAAACAACCAAAACAAAAAACAAACAAAAAAGAACATATATATTCATATTCGGATAAGTCTGAGAGCGTGAGTGATATTGTGTTTAGGGTGATGGATGCAACAAGGGGCATACATAATAAAATATATATGTAAAACAAGAAATTATGAAGAAAATCCCTAGGTGGATTCATATATTTGTATCTTATTAAATGTAGTTATGCTGCTTTCAACGTATGCGTGTTTCAAAATCCCCCAAAACAGTTGTTTTCAAAAAGTTGTTAGAATAAGAAAATAAATGTTAACAATTTATATAAGAAAAAGTCCAAACGGAAACCTATTTCAGTTGGAAATAGTACTTGGAAATGAAACGAATGGAAACGAATAAAGAAAACTCCAAACAATTTAACAATGAATGTTAAAGAAAAAACTAAAGAAGAATATATGTATGAACTATACTCGTATAATATTGTATTGTATTAATGAAACAGCCCAATTTGCGGATCCAAATCAATTGATCCAGTTCAAAATCTAGTCAAATTAATTTGGAATAATTTCTTTAGGTTTCTGTTTTTTGATTCCTAGCCAAAATTCAAAGTCCATTACATATTGCCGTCCCGGCTTAGCCATAGTTCAAAAAAAAACTACAAGTAATACCTTTTTTTTTACAAAGATTTCCACTAATCCATAGGACATGAAGGTTTCAAATTAGTTTTTTATTCATTTGCATTTTTCATTTCCTTTTCCTTTTTGATAAAAAAACATTTAGGAGAAGACAAAGAAATGGAGAGGAAAACTCAAAAAATGTGCTCTTTTGAAACATCAGTAAAGTGAAAATTAAAAATATATATGTATTTATATTTAGATCATTGTACATATGAATCGTACGAGAGAGGCGGGATAAGTGCACAGACAGCAAATAAGTTTATAAATCAGGTCAAAGGTACAAATAGTCAAATGGGAATCACAAGGAAAGCTAACCACAAATTATTGTAGGGTATTTACAAAAACTGGACAACTTCAAGAGCAGGAAAATGAAAACCAAATAAACCGAACACAAAATCAAACAATACAATTTTCAAGTTATTCAAAACTGTTCTATATGAAAGATCTTTATGCATATACAATGTATGTATGTTTGTATACCATACCATACCCGATCCATGTCTTTAATTCAAGTAGTTTTTTATGACCTCTAAATGTGCTTGAATACCTAATGCAGAATACCTTATGTAACCCAACAATTTACGACTACTACTTAAATAAACATTTGCTGTTTACGTTTAATGTCAAACTATCTAATATTATATGTATACTACTATATACTATACTATATACTGGACAACGCAGAACACATGAATTAAGACACTATCTATATGCATATGAGTACTTAAAGCGGTAGGAGTTTCGTTAAATTATGATTTCTTAATTTATAACTACGAATGCAAGATGACGAGCGATCAAGATACGATATAATAAACTCCGGTACACCAACGCTCAAAAAATGTTTTATTTCTCTAAATAGATGGATCCGGGTAGGCCCTGTCAAATTCAGAAATTCATTCATTCATATTCTCTTCTTCGCAGAACTGACAACAGCTATCAATATATTTTACAGAAAAAATTCGCAAATAAACTTTACGATACACAATAAGTTACAGAGAAAAAATGGTGAGTTACGAGGGGAAATGCTCGTTTGTTTTTGTGGATTGTGATGTCAGAGAGTCGATATATGATCGATTTCTATGTAAATTAAATGCATATGCAAACAGCAAAATTCAGCTCGTTGAAAGTTACGGTTTTTTAAATTTTAACTTGAATGGTCCTCAAATGCATTAGTAGATTATTCACATCAGAGTGCTTTTGGCTTTCTCTTAAAGCCTAGTAATCAGATCGAGCAAAAGTGTACGCGGCAAAATCAGGGCTGATACTCGTATTCGTATAAAACCGATAAGAAACAAAATGACAATACAAATTTTTGTTGTTGAACTTTTTTGTTTAAACCTTGTTTTAGTCAAAATACAATAAATGGAATAACTTAAAAGTAATTAATCTTTTATAAAAATTTATTCGTCAATGGGATTAGACTTTGTGGGCGGGGTTGAGGGTCTTAGTTAGCAAGAAATATTCAATGGAATATCAAAATTGAGCATTATGAAACGATTACTCTCTTACGTTTTTTTTTTTTTTTGTTTGACCTTTATTCGCAAAAACGTTTTTTTAGGCAACATTCAATAACATAAAGTATTTAAAATAAATCAGTAAAGTAGAAAATAGGTTTATTAATAAGAAATAATTATTTGGGAAGGGCTTAGAGATCTATCTAGCAAGTAATATTCCGCGGAATATCAAAATCGAGGAATATGGTGTCCAATCTTTGACGGAGAACGATTAACCCATTGTAATAATTTTAGCGCAGTTCAGGTGAAAGTTAGCATTGTTATTTTTAAGTTCAGATGAGAGATGGCACGAATCTAGAAGAAGAATTTACAATCGTTCATATTTTCAGCCATCAACCTCAATTAGTTGAACTATTTCAATAGAGGGGGCGGAAGTGGGCTAAGTTCGTTTTTTCATCATAACGAAATGCTATATTGTTGTTGAAGAGCAAAAACAGCAATCGTCGTAGCAAAAAAAAACAAGTCAAGCTTTTACAAACCAGTCAAGTACAAAATGTATTCATAAATCGTATAAAATTATGTGGGCATGGCTAAATCTTCCATATAGCTGATATTCGACGGAAGATCAAAATTGAGGGAATCGTCGTATTTGTTAAATCGGTAATGGCCCGGCTGACAACATTTAAATCCTTGTCGCTCACATTCCAAAAAGGTTAGATTTGGCGCGCACCACTCTTAACCTGTCGATAGTATCGATAGCCGAACTTGAATCGGGTAAGGACCTCTTTTACCCGATTGACAAAAATGAGTCTCATTCCATGCACACATACCCTGGGGGGAATGGATGTTATCGAGTTGTGAACATGTTTGTCATCCCAAGCAGAAACAATTTATTTTCAATATATTTTAATATTATTCAATACTATTTAATATTATTTTCAATATTTCAACGATATTTTAAAGCTTATTATTCTTGCAGAGACCAAGAATAGGTATCAGGATCGAGATCATATACTCATCACTCATCATATACATGAATATGTCTAAAAAATGTCAATTTGAGAAAAGGTCTTTATTAGTTACGTTTTATCTTCATATCAATATTTATACTTTCATATAAAATTAACAAAACCGGGTATACAAAGGCATATACTACGGCTTACACGCAATATAGCGACACTTTTTTTGTTGGACTTTTTCGTTTAAACCTTTTTTTACAATAAAAACAATAAAAGAAAGGATTAAAAACCATTAAATCTTGTAGAAAATGTATTTATCAATGGGATAAAACTATGTGGGCTTTGCTGAGAGATTTAGTTAGTCAGCATTATTCCATGGAATATCAAAATTGAGCAATATGAACGAATTTCCTTTTTCGTTTGTTTTGATTGACCTATTTCGCTACTTGTTTTTTGTTTGACTTATTTCGCTAAAACCTCTTTTTACGCAAAATGCAATAAAAGCAAGTGTTTAAAATAAACCAGTCAAGTTGAGAATAGTTTAATTAATCGGATATAATTATGTGGGCATTGCTAAATGTTCTATCTAGCCAGTAATATTCAGCGGAATATCAAAATCGACAATATGGTTTCCAATCCTTGACGGAGAACGATTAACCTATTATAAGCCAAGGGGGTATTTCAATTTTCCACTGAAAATAATGAAAATTTAATCATTTTAGTGCATTTCAGCTGAAAAATATCGTGGTTTTTTTAAGTTCATCGTAGAGATGGCATGAATCCTCAAGAAGAATTTACAATCAGTAATATTTTCCGCCATTTATCTCAAGTAGTTGAACTATTTAAATAGAGGGGGATTTAGTGGGCTAAGACGCTTCCACGGTTATTCTGTGCTTCCCACTATCGCCCACTATCGAAACATTGAACCATCGATAGTTTAGTAGCGCAATAGTGCCCTACAATCGATAGTTCTCCACCTCAACACTGTTCACGAGGCCCATAAAATCAATTTTTTTTACGAACACCGAACGAAAAATTTGTGTCGAAGCTCAATTAAATGCAAGTGAATACTGCATTTAACGTCCGTTGTCTGCGTTAAAGTCTCCCTGTCCAGTGTGCATCATATTTAAACGGGTTACGATTACGTTACCCAACGATTTCTTAACGTGTGTTAAAATAAAGCCGCAAAGTGGATACCGAAACTGTGAAAATCGAGGATTTGATGGACTCTGATCCTGAAATTGAGTTCATTGAAAAGGATAGTGGCATGTCGTCGTTAGGCGGCAGCAAAGATGAGACGCCAGAACGTCGCACAGTGGCCACTGTAAGTAAAAACGTGGTTCCCATTGCCTTCACACTCCCCTCCGTCTTATCGTGCTCACGTAATGGCCGCACCGACCGACCTGCTTACCAGCAGCTATCACAGCTGGTACTCGTAGAACGTTTGCCCCAGATAGCTATACATGGATACTAATTACAAGAATACTGGTACACACTTTCTAATGACTTTCATCTCCTTGCAGGCATCCGCTGAGCAGCCAGCACGCGATGAGGAGAACTACGATGATGTAAGTTGGCGCATGGCGCACGGCGAGATGTTTGTAAACATGCAGCTCGACTATGGAAGAATACAAATTGGAGCGTGCTATAACCTCAAACTTTCTATTTATCCCTCATCCTCAAGGAACCCGACGAGACGCTAAGCGAGCGCTTTATTGGACTGACGGAGATGCTCCCCGGGCCGGTGCGCACTGCGGCGTGCACCGTCGCCGACACAAGCGTGAAGACCTGCAAGGGCCTCTTCTCGTTTTCGCGCAACGCTGCTTGGATCTTTTTCACTACATCTATCATTATGTTCGCGCCGATCGTCTTTGAGACTGAACGCGCCACTATGGAGGAGCTGCACAAGTCGCAGCAGAAGCAGGTGCTCCTAGGGCCGAGCAGTGCAATGGCTTCCACTCCATCTGGGCCTACGCCCCATCTGCCATTGGTTCGTTAAGCCATTAACATTAGCTCTATAACCAGCTAGAGTCCGTGTTTGGGACACGTTATCTTAAGTTTGTCCAATATCAATTAATCCCAGTTGAAGGCAAAACGGAGGTCACGCCCCTCCATACCACACCACACCACAACCACAGACAAAACAGACACACAGCAAGCGCCTTAAGCATTTACGCTGCATCCGCCATATCCCCGACACTGCAGAGTGGGATGGAATGGCGCCCAAATTTGTCCACAATAAAAACTCATCTCCGGCATTCTCTTCAAACAGTTGCGAAACTTCTGATAGGTTTTAGTTGTGTAGTTGGTGTAGGAAAAAAGGAACAACTACAATTTAAACAAATTAATAAAACTATGTTTATTAAGAGTTAAACGACAGACTCCCACTTTTCTCCCCGTTCAGGGACTACCGAGGTATTCGCGCGGTATGGGATGATTGGTGAAATAGCGCCGAAACTCTCCGGCGTACTTGTTCCTCAACGTCCGTTCGCCAAACTCGTTGAATCGCTGCGCCAGGAAGACGTACACATCCAGCACTTTGGAATGGGCTTGCAGTTTCTTAAAGGATTTAGCAGCTCGCTCCAGGAGGTCCAGCGACTTCATCAGTTGGCCCTTGCGAGCCTCCACATTGTTGGGCGTGATGGCCAGGAGGCAGCGAACAAACACAAAATCCGTCCTGGCCCGCTCGAAGATCCCGCCGTTGGTGTGAATGTCCTGCATAGCACGCTTGATAGCCTGATAGGCCTTCTGGGGCAAGCCCAGGAGCAGGAGCTGCTGGGCCAGCAGCATGTCGACCAAGGCCAGCTCGTAGTCCATCTGTGCTTCGGCCATTTCCTCGGCCACACTCATCAGAAGCATGGTTGTTTCGCTAGAGAAGCGACCCTCGGCCAGACCGCAGTATCCCAGCATCACCTTGATGCGCATACGCAGAAGGAAGGGCAGTTGGGTCTGCGTGGCCAGATTATCCAGCAGGCGACGCGCGTTGAAGAACTCCCTTTTGGCAACATAGATGGAAGCCCTCTGCATCAGGGCATCCGATATATCCAGAAGATACAGCTGGTCGCAGGCCTTCAGGGCATCGTGCCAGCGACACTGATAGATGCCCGCCTGGATGATCACATGGCACTGGCTTATCATCCAGCCCTCGGCGCTGGGCAAGCGCGGAAAACGGCACCTGCCGCGATCCAGCAGCACCCGCGACATCTGGGGCTGACCCTGCAGCTGCAGCCACAGCGCATAGCTGGCCAAGGCACTGCCCAATCCGGCCGAGCCGTTGCTAAAGCGATCCCGAGCAGTGAGTAGCAGTTGGGAGTAGAGGGCCGACACCTCGTGCCGGCCATAGGCTGCCCAGACGGCGCTCCTCAGCGCTAGGGCCTCGGAGGCGTGGTCCACGAAATTGTTGCGGTTGGTGAGATTATCGCTGTGATGGAGCAGGTCGAACAGGCGCAGCGGTTTGTAGCCGGCGACTGTACCCAGCTTGACGGCAAAATGCAGCGCCAGTGTGTAGTTCTGCAGCAGCGAGCCGTCCACTTCATTGGCTTCGGACACACTGCGCCGGACTGTGGACAGCGGCAGCTCGTCGCGCAGTAGACAATACCAGGTGTTTGCGAGATTGAGGCTTCTTTTGTCCCCGTGTTCTTGTGCCAGCATGATGCTCTCCCTGAGGGCTGACAGCGCCTCATCGCGATGCCCGAAAGTGGCATGCAGCACGGCCAGATTAATGCAGAAATACTGATATCCCTTCTCCTGGCTCATCAGACGTACGGGGCTGCGGTCCAAGGCGCGATGTAAGGCAGACAGCGAGTTGTAGAAGTCCCTCACCCGCAACTGGTTCATGTAGCCGAGAAAGTAGGGGGTCGTCGTCAGCGGAAGATCCTGTATCATCTCTTGCACCTTTCGCTGAAGCTCCACGGGCGACAAGGAGTGCCTTTCATTGCTCTCCAGCAGCTCGGACTGTTTGTTAATGAAGTATTTGGCCTGCTTGGGTGCCCACTTGCTTAAGAGATTGCGCCCGTCCGCACAGCGCCCCACTGCATCATCGTTTTTCTTCTCTTCCTCGGTGGACTTGTCCTTGGCGAGTGGGGGAGGCGTCTCCTCCCTGTGCAGCACTCCGCCGGCAACTGCCTTACGTGGCCCTGGGCCCGATGCCATGGCACACACTCCACGCTCATAGAACGAACAAATGCTGCGATACATGTCCATCATGTCGGAAAAGCTGAGCCGTTCCAGGACCACACCTACGCGACGCACATAGACGCCCACCATGCTAAACTGGCTGATGCCATAGTTCTCGTTCAGTATCTCGTCTATGTTCTGGATCTCTGCAAAGTCGAACAAGGCCTCTATGCTGCCCGCGCAGAACTCGGACATGGCCTTTTCAAACGCTTCCAGCATCAATTTGTCCAATTTGTAGCGGCCTGTGGTGAGCAGGGCGTGCAGCTCGTCGTAGCTCTTGTCTGCCTCCTGGATTAGTTTGAAGATGAGCATGTAAAACATGCGCCGCTTCTGGGGACGCATTGAGATACCTGTGTCCAAGCATTCCTTCTTGTTCTGCAAAATTAAGACACAAACATAAGTCAAGAATTGTAACTTTGTGGCGGGAACAAACCAACAAATAAGCAAACCTACAATTACATACTGCTTGAGTAGAACTAGGACCACTATCTTGTGAGCAGTGGGAGATTCTATGCGCGCCGGCACAAGCTTCGAAGTGGGATCCAAGGTGTCCAGTTCATCATTTAGCTCCGTTGCCATTTTGCTTGGAGGTCTTCGATGATTTGTTTACCGGCAAAATAAACACAAAATAACTACGTATGCATGTGTGTATGTATGTCAATAGAGGTGGGTGCATGTCGATTTGTATCGAATTATATACGATACTATCGTGTTGACTGGCGCGGCCATATATGCACACATAGAGTATGAGCTGAGCTGTATTTGAAACTCAAGTTGCTGCCTCTTCTTGATATAACTGCCGCCCCCTTGAAGCAAAGTTACAGCCCGACTCGTGGTGCTTGGAACGTGCTGGCCACATGCACTTCGAACGCTCTTTCGAAGAAACCAAATCATCAATACTGATATTGCCCTACCCGAACTTCCCACTTGATCAAAGTCCAAGGGAAACTTACGAAAATTACACACAGGGTAAACATACTCTTCCCCAATATGTATTTCTGCTTTGAACGAATGAAAGCACAAAGTTCATTAGTCATTAGTCAACTACCCTTTAAATGCTAACCAAATTAATCAAATGGAATAGGTAATACAGCGACGAGAACTGCAACGGCAATGTTTTATGAGGCCATTTACAGGACAAATGGGAAGATGGAGCGGCGCTGCCGGGGATAATCTTTGAACTCCTTTTTGTAGTTGCGATGCTTGGCCAAGGCCCAGACCGTCATCTGGAACGCGCCAGCAAAAGCAAACAGATAGGCGGCCAGGCACGAGGTCATCACCGAGTAGGAGACCCAGGCCCCAATCTCGTAGGTGTAGTTCGGGCAAGACACAAAGCTGCAAACAAGGCAATTAGCTTAAAACACAAACTGTGGGGAAGAGTATAAATACTCACTTGAACAACTTGGTCAACGGATTGGCGTCGGCAACTGGAATCCTGCGCACCTTAGTGCCAGGTGGACGCAAATTGCGCAATGCAATGTGTACGGAGAAATTGCCTAATTCGCACAGCTGCAAGGGAAAGATAATTATTAATCTCCTTTGGGAGACACCATCGCCACCACTACGGCTACGACTACGGCTACTCACAGCAAAGGCTCCAAGGGCGGCCCAGACGGTGCACATGCAGGGCGATGTGTACAAAGGATGGTTGACGTGGTACGACACATACGCGGTGAATCCCCAGTAGTAGGTGCAATTTTTGAATAGATTGCGCAACGGCATTGTGGCGTGCGAGAAGCGGTGCACAAAGATCGTCTCCAGCAAACGCTTCACATAGTGGACAGTGTAGCAACCGGCGGCGATACTGCAGAAGATTGTACAAAAGGGAAACGAACGAAAACGGGTTAATAATTATGCATTCGGGTAAAAGCTAGCCAATGCTTGCTTGCGTTTTAGTCACTCATCGCTTTGCATAAGCGGCCCTAGTCGCTGTTGGGTCAATCAGGTCGTATTCAAAAAAATACAAATCGAAAGATGTGCGGCGAAAGTCGCGCCGACACACTCAAAGACACACACACACGGGCCGGTCTACTTACTGGGTGGTGAGGGAGATCGGTGTGCTGGCTGCCTTGCCGTAGATTAGTTCCGGGCGGAAATAGAAAATCAGATACACAATCAGGGGCCCGGCATACTCAGCCAAGAACACCGTCTTCCATCCAATCTGGGGTCCCAGGTCCTTCACAAAGATCTTGTCCCCATTGCGTAGCGACAGCGACTCCACGGTGTCCGTATCCTTCAGGCTCTTGCCACGCGCATCCAGGCGCAGTGACTGGCGGTTGGCGTCCGGAGCCTGCTTCAGGCTTTTCTGAATCAGGGCGCGCAAGTCTCCAATTGGAGTGGCGACCGAGGGCACCTTTACCTTGCCATAGGGCTTGCTGGTCTTGGCACTGAGTATTTCGAGCTCCATTTTTTTTTGCGGCCGTTTGCGAAGTGACTAGAAAATTTGTGTGACCGCGGACTTATCGGTAAGATATACGGTCCGCCCCTCGGAAATATTCCAAAACATACCGTCTCATTTAAAAAATATATCGTAAGTATACTGACGAATTTATAAATATTCCTCAATTTTGATATTCCGTCGAATTTTATCAGCTAGATAGAGCATTTAGTCATGCCCACATAATTTTATACGATTCGTGAATAATTTTTCTACTTAACTGGCATATTCTAAATACTTGCTTTTATTGCATTTTGCGTAAAATAAGGTTTTAGCGAAAATGTCTAGAAAATTTTAGGTTGTTAAAGGCCAGTCACAGTGAAACGTACGATACACCACACAAAATATTTAAAAATATTCAACGCAGTAGTCGTTATTTTTTTATTCAATAGAACATCAATAGATTTACAATAGCCCTTTTCCCCCCAATTTTCTAGTCAAGCAATTTTCATTGACTGCTAACCTGAAGAAAAATTAGCAGACATTCGAAATTGTCCAAAAAGTGTAAAAGTCTCTAGAGAGCATTATTGGTAAGTAAACCCCCATACGTGACGTGTATAATGTTTGTTAGTTTTCCTGGAATTCGCGTATTAATTCACAACCAATTCCATACAGTATGGGTTTTCATAAAGTTGCATTAGTTTTTTTTTGTGAAGATCGTATATCAGCTCTGTCATTAAGTGTTGTTGAAAGGCTTATATCTTACGGAAAGTGTTATCATCACAGGCCTTGAACTAACTGTCAAGGATTAGTACAAAGTTTTCATATATTTTATTTAGTCGTTATCCAGGTCTTGTCTTAAAGTTGTCTGAAAATATTTTAATTTTTTTATTTTGGTGAGTTAAAAATAAAAAAAAATACGTCCCATAAAATTCGATTTTTACGTGGCGTTGAATTTAGTGTCAACGAAACGGTTTGATAATAGAACAAATTTCTGAATCGGTCAGTACGGTCAGGTTTTCCGCTCGTCTCACAGCTTCAAAAATAGTTTACAAAAGTAAATTTTTATTTTAATCAGAGCGGGCTCTGAATTTTTGTCAAGCTAAATTTGTTTGATATATGTATATTTAGTTATTTTCAGTCAGTCAGTACGGTCCTGTTGTCTCGAAGTGTTTGAAAATATTTTAGCAAGTTTATTCTGTGGTGAGTTGAATTTGTACAAAATATTTTTGTTATGAATTGTTAAAAAAGTTTAGCAGCAGTGGCAATTCAAATCATTGTACGACCATTGTGGGTCGTATATTTCATCGTTAAAGACTGCCACCTTGCAAATTTAATACATTTCATGGTATTCTCTAACATTTTCCAGTATTTTTTAAGACGCGTTATAGTTTCACACTCGTGTGCAATGCACCAATGTAGAAATCGTGTAGAAATGCCATTTAGAGCCGTGTCCAAGGCCCAGGCCATACCAATTAGTGATCATCATAAAATTCTTGACCGTTAGCCATAAAAATCCAAATATTTTGAAATATTACGGAAAAAAGGCATATCAAAAAGTGTATGACGTAGGTTTTTCACACTGGCGCTTCCACGGGGCAAACGGGCAAAAATGTTTGACAATTACACATTTCCCCTTCAGGTGTCGCTTTTGATAATTACATAAAACTGTAGGTTACATCACTAACCATACATTATACAGTATACTGTATGGTTAGTGGTTACATGTATCCAATGTGTAGTTAGCGTATAGTTATCATATACCAAAGAAATTTCGGTATATTTCTGGGGTATATTTTATCGATAAGCAGAACACACAAATTTAGCGAGAAGAAGAGTTCCAGACTGGCCATTTACGGTATTTTTAATACTTTAGGAATTTTTTTTTAAGATAAAAAATGAACTGACGGTATATTTACGGTATGTCGGTATAAAATGGTATATTTTGTCAATTTCATCAATTTTTTTTTTCAACGGTATATAGAAATCCAATAAAAGAATAAAAATTCGTCAGTATATTTACGGTATATTTTTAAAGTGAAACGGTATATTTCTGTGGGTCGCATGGTATATTTTAACGATAAATCCGCGGTCACACTGCACAGTTCGTTTGTGCCCATTGCAAAATTAGCAGAAAATATTTTTGTGTGTAAAAAGATTAGAAGATTAGTTTAAGAAAATCTAGAGTTTGCTGACAAACGTAAGTTCTAAATGATATTTAAGCAGATATATATAGGGGTAGGAAACGAGCTGCAACTTTGCAATCCGTGACAATGCAAGGCCTTGTAACAGTCTTTGCAGTCATTTTTTGCTTGTTTCTTATTCAATCTCTTATGCACTTGCATATTTTAAACTTGGAATTTTGCAGCAACGCATTAGTTTTGGTAAGGAGTTTCCTTGAAAACAGCCAATTTAGCCAATTTCTTGTGAAATGGGGTTGTGACGCCAATTGAAAATTCGAGAAGCCTCAACTTCATATGCATGCATGTATGTATATGCATGACACATGCATCCCCCTTTGTGTGCATGCGTATGAGTGCACTGGTGCTTTATTGAATAAATAAAATATTTAGCCTCAACTAAGTTGCGAACTAGGTAGACCACTACCTAGTAATTGTATATTATTGTATCAGTCGTGTATGTCTGTATTACGGCTATTGGCTTCAGGCTATACTGGTTCGTGCTTGCGAAACTCTATACGTGTCCATCTCTAATAAAAGCCACGACTAACCAAGCAGAACAAAGGTTTCCAATTGTTTCCTTTGTGTCTTTGTTTTGTCGAATTGAACAAGTAACAACCTTTCACCCCGGAAACAAAGCAAGCCAAGAGATATCCTATACAAATATCTTACTTTTTTCGTCTGTCTAAAATCCAAAAATAGTTTCTTCTGTCATTTCCACTACACTCGGCTGTTACTAATCCATGCATTATTGCATTTTCCTTTGCAGAATAATACAAAATGCAGATCTTTGTGAAAACCTTGACTGGAAAAACCATCACCCTGGAGGTGGAGCCATCCGACACCATTGAGAACGTGAAGGCCAAGATCCAGGACAAGGAGGGAATCCCCCCAGACCAGCAGCGTCTCATCTTCGCCGGCAAGCAACTGGAGGATGGCCGCACTCTTTCGGACTACAACATCCAGAAGGAGTCGACTCTCCATTTGGTGCTGCGTCTCCGCGGTGGTATGCAAATCTTTGTGAAAACCTTGACCGGAAAAACCATCACCCTGGAGGTGGAGCCATCCGACACCATTGAGAACGTGAAGGCCAAGATCCAGGACAAGGAGGGAATCCCTCCAGACCAGCAGCGTCTCATCTTCGCCGGCAAGCAGCTGGAGGATGGCCGCACCCTTTCGGACTACAACATCCAGAAGGAGTCGACTCTCCATTTGGTGCTGCGTCTCCGCGGTGGTATGCAAATCTTTGTGAAAACCTTGACCGGAAAAACCATCACCCTGGAGGTGGAGCCATCCGACACCATTGAGAACGTGAAGGCCAAGATCCAGGACAAGGAAGGAATCCCCCCTGACCAGCAGCGTCTCATCTTCGCCGGCAAGCAGCTGGAGGATGGCCGCACTCTTTCGGACTACAACATCCAGAAGGAGTCGACTCTCCATTTAGTGCTGCGTCTCCGCGGTGGTATGCAAATCTTTGTGAAAACCTTGACTGGGAAAACCATCACCCTGGAGGTGGAGCCATCCGACACCATTGAGAACGTGAAGGCCAAGATCCAGGACAAGGAGGGAATCCCTCCAGACCAGCAGCGTCTCATCTTCGCCGGCAAGCAGCTGGAGGATGGCCGCACTCTTTCGGACTACAACATCCAGAAGGAGTCGACTCTCCATTTGGTGCTGCGTCTCCGCGGTGGTATGCAAATTTTTGTGAAAACCTTGACCGGAAAAACCATCACCCTGGAGGTGGAGCCATCCGACACCATTGAGAACGTGAAGGCCAAGATCCAGGACAAGGAGGGAATCCCCCCTGACCAGCAGCGTCTCATCTTCGCCGGCAAGCAGCTGGAGGATGGCCGCACTCTTTCGGACTACAACATCCAGAAGGAGTCGACTCTGCATTTGGTGCTGCGTCTCCGCGGTGGTATGCAAATTTTTGTGAAAACCTTGACCGGAAAAACCATCACCCTGGAGGTGGAGCCATCCGACACCATTGAGAACGTGAAGGCCAAGATCCAGGACAAGGAGGGAATCCCCCCAGACCAGCAGCGTCTCATCTTCGCCGGCAAGCAGCTGGAGGATGGCCGCACTCTTTCGGACTACAACATCCAGAAGGAGTCGACTCTGCATTTGGTGCTTCGTCTCCGCGGTGGTATGCAAATCTTTGTGAAAACCTTGACCGGAAAAACCATCACCCTGGAGGTGGAGCCATCCGACACCATTGAGAACGTGAAGGCCAAGATCCAGGACAAGGAGGGAATCCCCCCAGACCAGCAGCGTCTCATCTTCGCCGGCAAGCAGCTGGAGGATGGCCGCACTCTTTCGGACTACAACATCCAGAAGGAGTCGACTCTGCATTTGGTGCTTCGTCTCCGCGGTGGTATGCAAATCTTTGTGAAAACCTTGACCGGAAAAACCATCACCCTGGAGGTGGAGCCATCCGACACCATTGAGAACGTGAAGGCCAAGATCCAGGACAAGGAGGGAATCCCCCCTGACCAGCAGCGTCTCATCTTCGCCGGCAAGCAGCTGGAGGATGGCCGCACTCTTTCGGACTACAACATCCAGAAGGAGTCGACTCTGCATTTGGTGCTTCGTCTCCGCGGTGGTATGCAAATCTTTGTGAAAACCTTGACCGGAAAAACCATCACCCTGGAGGTGGAGCCATCCGACACCATTGAGAACGTGAAGGCCAAGATCCAGGACAAGGAGGGAATCCCCCCAGACCAGCAGCGTCTCATCTTCGCCGGCAAGCAGCTGGAGGATGGCCGCACTCTTTCGGACTACAACATCCAGAAGGAGTCGACTCTGCATTTGGTGCTTCGTCTCCGCGGTGGTATGCAAATCTTTGTGAAAACCTTGACCGGAAAAACCATCACCCTGGAGGTGGAGCCATCCGACACCATTGAGAACGTGAAGGCCAAGATCCAGGACAAGGAGGGAATCCCCCCTGACCAGCAGCGTCTCATTTTCGCCGGCAAGCAGCTGGAGGATGGCCGCACTCTTTCGGACTACAACATCCAGAAGGAGTCGACTCTGCATTTGGTGCTGCGTCTCCGCGGTGGTATGCAAATTTTCGTGAAGACTCTGACTGGAAAAACTATTACCCTGGAGGTCGAACCTTCTGACACCATTGAGAACGTGAAAGCCAAGATCCAGGACAAGGAGGGAATCCCCCCAGACCAGCAGCGTCTCATCTTCGCTGGCAAGCAGCTGGAAGATGGCCGCACTCTTTCGGACTACAACATCCAGAAGGAGTCGACTCTCCATTTGGTGCTGCGTCTCCGTGGCGGAGTCTGCGCCTAATCTTACTACATTTCCACATACCCCCACACACACAGAACTAGTTACATCAAGGCCAAACATTCCAAAATTTTTTGCACTAAACGACTGTCAAATTTATTTTAAATTCAGGCCTCAGTACCAAGACCGATATTTGTTGACAACACTTTTTCCGCTAAAATTCGAGACATAAATTACCCATTGAAATTCAAAATACACAGGTTAATAAATTCAATTGTTCAATAATTTATGCTGTTTTATTTTATTCAAATTATTGAAAGAATATTTAATAAATGTATATGTTTAGTATATTTTGTATGAAGGAACGCAGTGTGGATTTTCTAGTGACAAATGGCGGTATTTTGATCAGAAACGCGTTAGGGAATTTAGCAATATTTAAAACAAAATAAACATTTTTAATAAAATTGAGCAAATATGACGAAATTATTGCAACGTCTGGAGGTGACTCTTCGTAGTTTTTACGTGTTCAACTCCAGCTTTGGCGAGAAAGAAGGCGAGGTGAGTTATAATGAGCTGAGTCGCAAGCAACGCCCACGAATGAGTAACATCCGCAGGAACACAAGAAAGTCTTGTACTATCATCCGAACGACATCGAACTGAACACGAAAATAAAAGATGTGGGCCTCAGCGAAGCTATCATCAGATTTACTGGGTATTTTCCACTATAGAAGTAGCTCCGTTAGCCGTATAACCGCTGTCTTTTTCAGCACCTTCACCACCGAGGACGACTGCAAGGCGCTGCATACGCAAAAGACCACGCAGCTTTTCCACCAGCCAGAGCTGGGCTTCTGGTTGGTCCTGGTGCTGAACGTGCCCAAGGAAATACGGCTCAAGGAGGGCGTGGAGGTGGCCGATTACCGGGGCGGCGAGATTTCCGACCGCATATATAGGGCCGTCCTCCGCCAATGCTACCAAATGTATCGTTTCCAGCATGGAGCACTGGCATCGCTTGGAGCTGGGTTGGAGAATGCCGATCAGCGCCGCGAACTGCTCTCCGAAAAACTGCTGCAGTTTTTCGATACATATTTGATCAGCCTGAAGGATCTGGCTCACTGTGATATCATTGACATGCTCCATTCCATCCAGTACCTGCCCCTGGACAGGGCGCTATTCCTGCGAGCGCACAACTTTGGCATGCTGTGCGCCACCTTTCCGGTGATCAAGGAGAGCATTATGCTCTACAACGAGCAGATCGTCTGCGGTGGCAAGATGGGCGCGAGCGATCTCTACAGTCTTCATGCGTACATTGTCCAAAATGTCCTGCCAATGGACTCGAACGACTCATCTGCCAACACTCCTGTGATAAAGCGCAGCATCAGCGAGTGCCAAGCCAAAGGCTTCGTGCGCTGCCATCCCAGCGATGCCAGTGAAGGCCAGGACGAAGTACTACCGCTTACGGTCTACCTATCAGTTGAAAATCAAGTTACGCCACATTATTTGCTCATCTACCGCGCTCTTCAAATAACCCTTTGTCTTTTTCTCGATGGTATGTCAAAATCACATGCCATCTTCACTTTTTTCTGTATTTTGAATTCCCCTTTCTCGCTGCAGCGAAACAACCGGCTCCAAAGCAGGAACTGTACGACGAACTCCATGCCTACATTGCGCCCCAGCTGACGTGCCTGGCTCGTGATATTGCCAGCGAAGTGTCAAAGGAAGCCCTGGCCCATCCTGGACAGGACAGCAGCAGTGGTGGCGGCCCAGCGTCCAACGATACCACACCCAAATATCTGTTCATCAACGAACAGAGTCTGCAGCACCACACGAATATCCACAGGAATGGTATTCCACGTAATGTTATGAGCGTGATTGCGGATCTCGCCAATCCCGGCGAGCGTTCGAATGTGGCGGCTGCCGCGGCCACCGAAGAGCTACAGGTGAAGACCACCAATGACTATTGGATTGTGAAGCGGTGCTGCAACTGGCGGCAGTACTATGTGATTCTCTGCAACAGCAAGGCGACCCTTTTGGACGTGACCCAAGAGGCGAAGCGTATATTTGAACAGGAGCTCACAGATGATGTATTCTTTGACAAATAAATAGCAGTATGAGGTAAACGAAGGGCGTTCGCCAATTGTAGTGCCGCTGCCCCGATCCTGGCCGGCGCTCCTCGTATCTCCGGCAGAACCTGCACGTGGAATGGGCATTGGTCGGTAGTTTTCAAGCCAGCACCGTGGAGCTGCTAATGTTGTTGCCCTCGGCGGCGTCGTTGTAGGACGTGGAAGACGACGAGCTCGTGGTGGCTCCATTCTGCGTGTGCGTCTTGCTTAGCTTTACGACGTAGATGCGCCGATTGGACATGCATATACTGTAGTAGTGCTGGTCGTAGTCGATGGTGATCCTCTCGCAGCTACTGTTGGGCATAAAGTCCTCATCGATGCTGTAAACATGCAAGATCAAGGGGAAAATCAAGATTATGTGGAGATTTTGATGCTCCTACCTGTCCGTCAGATTCAGAAGCCCCATTATCACATTCGCACTACGGTCGTCGTTCTTCAGGTCACCCCCCGAATCCAGAAGGTTGCCATCGTCCTTCAGGATCAGGTATCCCATCTGATTGGGAGCAATTAGCTTTTCTTTATCCATTTCAAAATATATTTTACTCCCACACCCCAAATAAACGAAACAAAGCTATTTCAGTGTTGTTAAATATTGTTTAACCCCTTAAGGGCCAATGAGTATTTAAATACCCACGAATATTATGAAACTTGACGAATTTTAGCGCCGAGCTGGTGAAAGATGTGCCAATAATTATTCTTCTTAAGTAAAAAGGAAAAGTGAATCTACAAGTAAAATTTTCAAATATCATAATCATAATCGGGGTTTACCTAAAACATGTTCCCTGTGAATATATAGGTTTGTTGGTGGTCTGATATATGGAAATCGTGCAATTGTTTTATGTAGTTACGGGTGTCCTTTATGCAATAGAAAAGAATTAACAGCGGTATATTGGCGGCAACCTTAGTCAACTTAAAATTGTTAATTAAATACCAAATGGGTTTTTTGTGTGCACTGAAAATGCAATGCATATTGCAATTTTTATCCTTATCAACTACCATGGTCACCAATATAAACATTTTAAAATTTGATCAAAATCGTACGATCCGCTTAGGAGCGCGTCGTAATGGGTTAACTTGTATCTGTTTTTTGTTTTCTTCGCTTATGGGCTATCGATATCGCAGTGTACTATCGATTTAACATTTTTACCGTGCGGTTCGCGTGAAATTCAGGCGCTGCGAAAAACTACAAAAAACCATTTAAAATCAGTAATTGTATTAATGAAACAACTGTGAAACATTACATTAGATATCAAAGTGTAAGTTTTCATTAATTTTATAATGGTAGCACATGAATTTATAGCTATAAGTTGCAATTTCAACTTTTTTAGTGAGCAAAGTGAAAATTTTTCGGGTCAACGCCACACCCTCTCATAGAGACAGTCTAAATCCAATTAAACATGGGGAAAATTTGAGCGAAAAGTGCTAAAAATTATTAAATAGATCAATGGGACAATACCGGGAGCTCAATTATCCTGAAATCGTTCATATTTTGTACAAACTCCGTATTCCAATTGAAGTTGAAAAAAAGTATCTATGCATGTAGTAGCTTCATTTTTGTTTGTGTGTGTGCATGCGTTCAGGAGTTTTGTGTTTGTGTGCGTGTGTGTACGTCATCGGCTGGTGGTGCGGCAACTTCAGCCGGGAGAAAGCGTGAGAGAGAGAGCCTGTCATGGGATTGTTTTTGTGTATGTGAGAGCGTCCGAGTACGAAGAGTAATGTTTTGCCATACATTTGCCAAAAACCTGTTTTAATGACAATGTCCTTGACTTTGCTTGAAGGCTAATTCGTGTAGGATATTTCAGCCCCTTTGCGAGTGTGTGTTTGGCTATAGTACAACACAGCCTATGCGTTCTTTTGACTTCTATATTTCATGCTTGGCAATCATTGCTCATAATTCCAAACTGCGAGGGTTACGTCATCCACAGCTATTTTCTGATAGACACTTCAATTAATGTACACACACAGGCATGGGTTTGTAGGCATACATATGTGTGTTTTTTCTTGCTCTCTTTTCAAGGGGGTTCGTTCTCTCGCACTTGCTGTTTTTTGTTGTTATTTGTATTTTGTACCGCGATAAACAGTTAAATTGCCTTCAATGATATTTGTGTGTGTGTGAAGTGTTTGGTCATACTTTTGTATGGCTGCTTTTAGGAGAGAGACAAAAAATGCCCGAGCCTAGCCTAGGGTATTTTTTTTTGTATTTCTCTTCTGTTGTTTCCTGCCCTGCTCTCCGGCGTCGACCCACCCTCTTGATGTGTGACTGTTTTGTCCACGGGGAAATGATGTCACTGGTTTTAATTAATTAAGGCAGATTGTTGCTGTTTTGACCTCTTCTCGTCCATTCATATTCTGGAAATGTTAAGTAATCCAGCAGTAATCAATTCCTTGAAATATCTTATATATGTATGCTTATCACAATTTAACAAAAGGGGAATTTGTGTACAGTAAGAGGGTCGTTGCATGAGGAAACATTTTAAAGCTAAATTTAAATTTGGTTTGATGTTGTGCATTGTCTGTGTGTCTATATGTTCTCTATTATTTACTTTACTGGAAATTACATTTTCTATACCCTATTTATCTCTTTACAATGTATCCTAACCTTACATACCCTATTATATAGTATCAATGAAATATGTTGCCATATTTTGATACCTCGTAGTTTCTTTCGTGACTTAGTTCCTTAGCTCCTCCTCCTCTTCCTCGTCCTTCTGCGCGTCCTACTGTGTCTGAGGGAAGTGATTTAAAAAGCTATCAAAATCCTCAAGGAAACAAAATCCTTCAGCCTTTCCAAAAAAAATAAACAAAAAAAATATCCAAAAATAGAAACGAAAACCAAACAAAAGCCGAGAGTGTACAAGAAAACATTTCTCTTCTCCCCTCTTCCGTTGCAGGAAAAGAGAGAGAGAGAGAGAGAAATATTTAGAGCTGATAAAAATAGCTCGAGCCTGCCTCCGTAATAAGGAGGCTATGTCCCTAACGTCACTGTAAACGACAGAAAATACAAGGAATAAAAATGAACAGATTGGAAGAGAATCAGCTCCAGCGTTTGCTGACGAATCTGGAAAACGTTCCCCGTGTACAGTTGCCTTTCAAGTTCGTGTCGCTCTTCAAAAAAGGAAAGACCTGCAGCTTGGAAGACTTTGCCGTGTACTTTCTGGCTGCCGTGCGCCAACATACAGAGCAGCATTTCCGCGGCAGCGAGACCGAGACGACTCCCAAGTGTCTAACACCTGTACGACAGCCCAAGCCACTGCTGCCGTCTGAGGACTTGTTCAACGTATCTCCCCACAACCAGAGTGCAGCCGGTGCCACATCCTCGATGTCTACTCCGGTCCGGCCGCAGTCGCAAGGCCGAAGGTCCGCTGGAGGTGCTCCAGGCAGCCGTCAGTTCTGCAGCACTCCCCAAAGCGCAAATCGCAGCGGAGGAGGAGGCGCATCTGGTGACCGTGGTCACAGCTTTTGTCTAGGCGACTTTCTGGTTACTACACCGACCCAAGGTCACCAGCGATCCACCAAGAAGAAGACTACTCCCCAGCAGCAGCAACAACAGCAGTCAGCCCAGGGAGTGGCCCAGGCCAAACCCAGACGTCGGGTTCTCCCGATGACCATCAGCAAGAACGTGTCGGCCAGCTCTTCGTTTGGTGACACCAGCTCCTTTAGCAACGACAACAATCTGTGGCGCCTCTCGCAGAGCAGCGAACTGTTCGATCGCAGCCAGGGCGCTGCCCTGGATATGGAGGCGCGCAAATCCCTACTCCTCCACAAGCAGGAGATCAAAAGTGAGGCCCCCGTCAGTGTGGTCCCAGAGAGGGGACAAGAAGATGAGGTCTCCAGTATGCAGGAGCCCGTCCCCGTCAAACTGGAAGATGTGAAAAGTCCCGGCCAGCTGCAGGTTCTCTCGGCCATCTATGGCCAGCTAATGGATCTCAATATGGTGCCGAATGTGCTGGGGGAGCTGAGCTTTGTGATGCAGCTGCTCAACGTCCACGACTCGGATGTGACTCCGAGTCAAGCGGTGAAGGAGCTGGATCTGGGGACTCCCCTGCAGCGTCTGGGTCTCTACAAGAATTGCATTTACTTTGCCCTCCAACTGTTGGAGCATCAGCAGTATCTTCTTCTCCAGCTGGACAGGAAATCGCTCGGCATTCTCCTGCAACACGAGCGCCTGGGCCTGCTGCCTCAGCCCCTGGTGCAGCAGTTGGAGGAGTCGTGCCACCGTAAGCAGGAACTGGCCAAAAAGGAGACCTCCAGCGCCTCCTCCTCCCTGACTTTGGCCTCGCCTGGGAGCCAGCAGAACGTCTACTACCACGAGGAGAAGGACTCGCGCGATAACTTTCCAAACCAGAATGAGTTCGGGGCCTTCAAGTCGCAGCGGGATCTCTTCTACAAGGCCTTCAAGCTGTGGGAGGCCACCCACCTCAATCGGGGGTTCTGCTTCAATCGAGAACTCAAGCCGCATGTGCGGGCCATCTTTACGATTTCGGAGCATGCCGTGAACATGGCCCACTTTGCCAAGCTGTTTGTCAGCCAGCTCCTCATCTCTGGCAGCGAGACAACCGAATCTCCGGAAGAGCTGGGTCTCAAGCTGGACCAGCTGCGACTGAACCGCCTGGCCCAGCGATTGGTGACCTCCAGCTCCAGCGTCGAGGATCAGTTCCCCCGCTCGCAGGCTTTCTTCCGCGACTTTATCAGCGACTGCGCCTCTATAGCCTTTCTAGTGCAGCTGAAGCTCGCCCTATATGTCCAATTGGTGCGTCAAAATGATTCCACATTCGAGCTGAAGCAGCTGGCCGAGGATGTGGTGGAGGAGGAACGCCCCTCGCAGCAGGGCGGGCCCTTCATTGTGCGTGCCCAGACCATGGCCAATATGCTGATTCTGGCAAAGTTCCTCGGATATGTGACGGCCCTACCCTACAATCGTTGTTCCGGCCAGCCACAATCGCAGGTCTGCCAGCAGCAGCTTCAGCTGCGCAGCCACTTCCAGCCGGACTTTAATCTTCGCGAGCTCCTCGAACGATCGATGGTGAATGGCAAGCTGCTGATCACCCTGCCCTGGCTGGTGCAGTATCTGGTGATGCTGGACCTCATCGCGCTCCAGTTGCCCAACACTCTGGCCACTCTGGAGCTCCTCTATGCCCTGTACGCCGCCATGCCTGCAGAAAAACTGCAGCCCGGTGCCGTGTTCGTTGCCAGGAGCTGCCTGGGCTGGCTATTGGAGGCACAGCCGCATCTGGTCAGCGGATACTACAGCTACAGGGCCCTGGAAACGGGTGGAAATGCAGCCGTGGTGGAGAGCTGCCTGAGCTCGTTTCGTTCATTGGAGACATCCCATGTGCCGCAGATGGAGGAGCTTCTGCCGGTGGCCTGCCCCTATCTCCATGAATTCCGAGTGAGCATCACGCCCTCCCGGCAATCCCAAAGCACTGGACGAAGCGGCCGATTCCGGTACATCACCACGCGGCTGGAGCAGCTTAATCAGAGTGGTGCCACAACCTCTGCAACGGGCCAATCGGTGGTGGCTTCCGTGGAGCTCAGTCCGGCGGAGCAGCAGCAGCGGAAACTTGGCGATGCCTTCCTCCACTCGCAGAACGCCTCGACCAGACGCCTCATAGAGTTTGTGACTGAGCGCAGCTTCAAATGCGTGGTGAAGGATGCCCAGCAGCAGATTCTGCTGCCGTCCAAGGCGGCGGCCGATGGCCGTGTCAACGAGATCAATTCCACGCAGTATCAGGATGTGTTTGGCGACATCCAGCAGATCTACCAAGAGGCCAAATCGCAGGCCTGCCAGCGATGGGCGGACCAAGTGCCACGGATGCTAACGGAGCGCATTGAGCAGTCCCTGGGGGCCCTGCTACCCGACAGCACCAACGAGGTGCTGCGAGCCACGTACACCCAACTGATCCGGGGACAGGCGCAGACTCAGCTGCAGCATTGGCTGCAGGCGAACGTGATGCAGTCCAGCTTCTACCAAGGGGATCTTCAGGAGCTGGCCGCCAAGGTGTGCCGCGCCAACAAAAACAAACTGGAGACCACTGGCGGCGGCAGCTCCAGCGAGATGCATTTGACCCTGGACGTGGGCTTCAGTCTCTCCGACATGCTCTTCCAGCTGCAGCAGTGGCTTCATTGCGTCAGCCTGCGTCCGGAGAGCGTGGGTAGTGCGCCAGAGCTGTGGGCGCTGCTCCAGCAGATCCAACACGCCGTTCTGCTGACCCAGCTGCCCACCGTCTTCTATCATTTGATTGGCTCCGGCCTGGTGCGACTTGTCCAGCTGCTGATCATCCGCCAGCCGCAGCTCCTGACACCACAGATCCTCACTGCCAGCTGCACAGTATGGCGGACACCTCAGCTCTCGGCCAGTGAGCCAGCTTTACCGGGAATCTTTGATGGTTTGCTCAGTGTGAGCTTTATCCAGGAGCTGGGAAACCATCTGGAGTGCTTCCGCCTGCTGGAGAAGCTCCTCCTCACCATGCTGGAAGCAGGCGTATTGAATGCTGATCAGTTTAACGAGCTCTTCATGCCGCTCTTTAAGGAGAACTGGTCACCGCCCGTCTGGAGTGCCCTTTCCCAAATGCTGCAGCAACTGTCGCAGGGGAATCGTTTTGGCGGAGGTGATAGCAATGATAGCAAGGAAGACATCAATAGCCCCGAGGACGACGCTAAATCGCATCTGTTCATGGAGATGCTGGCCGACTTGTCACGTGATTTGGATAGTTTCTAAAACCCCTAACAAAAATACAGCCCTATGTCATGTAACGTACTCTTTGGCTCCCTAAATAAAAGGGACACTAGCAAATAACTCGGAGGGGAAAAGCGGGATTGTCTTTATTGGGTTGGACATGTTGTCGATAAGATAACAATTGGCTGTGAACGAGTGCGTCACTGTCACCTCTTTTAGTTTTAGTTTATTCTTGAACGGCAAGCGGAGCGGGGCCGCATTCTGAAACGATTCGATCATCGACCTGAGCAGTTGGCAACGCGATAAGCGATAAGCGGCGATTGCAACTCTATTCTGTGCCATTTGTATTTGTATTTGCGAGTAAAGCGAATGTAATCATACATATATTCATTATTTTGCATAGCTAACGATTATACAATCGCTGCAGTCGTAGATGTACCGGTTCGATCATATTTAAATTGTTCGTTTAGAGTCATGAGCGCGATAAGCGGCGATTGCAACTATATTCTGTGACGATAAGCCAGGGTTGGGATGCAGACAAGAGTTAAATATTTACAATATATCTTCTTTTTATTTTTGTATGTGTGTGCAAGTTAGAATACAAATTTAACTATTCTTGGCCTGTTTAAACTGGAGCAGAGACAATATATTGTTCATATGGTTCATATCCAGCGAGGTTTTCGGAATCGTCGAAATCCGCGCCCTCTCGTTCGCACGAAGTCGAGAAAGCTCACAGATCTAAAAATAGAATGAGCTTGCATGTGTGTGTGTGTACTTGTGCAAGACTTGGGCCGGAGACACTGCTGGATACCGTTTTCATGGCGTGCGACAGAACACCCACAAAACTCTACAAGGAAGTCTCCTTCCTCCATTTTCCGGTCGTTTTCCCATAACTTTTTTGACTAACAAAATCGAAATTCAAACCCAAATCAGCCATTCTCGGTATCGGTAGTCTAAAAAGTCTATTAATATGATGCATTATTTTGATGAAAAAATGAAAATGAAAACATAATAATTACATATGTATGTATGTATTCCACACTTATTTTACAGTTGTGCACGGTCAAACATTTGATGAAGAAGCAGCAGCAGGTACCAGCAGCAGTATTAATTTAAACCCAGTTGGCAGCGCCTAGAGCCTGGATCTTACGGTAAATTGGAACAACAATAGCGAATGTAAACAAAACGAAAGGAAATGGAAATTGATTGATAGAAAATTTGTGTGTTTGTATTTTGCAGCTCTTTACGAAGCCACGAGACGAACGAATATTTTCAAGAATAGAAGACAAGCAAACGAAATAACGATATGGAGAATTTTACACCGAAGGAGGTGAAAATCCTCGAGACCGTCGAGGACATCCAGGAGCGTCGTGAGCAGGTTCTCTCGCGCTACAACGAGTTCAAGATCGAGACCCGTCAGAAGCGCGAGAAGCTCGAGGATTCGCGGCGCTTTCAGTACTTTAAGCGCGATGCCGACGAGCTGGAGTCCTGGATCCATGAGAAGCTGCAAGCGGCCAGCGAGGAGAGCTATCGCGATCCCACCAATCTGCAGGCCAAGATCCAGAAGCATCAGGCGTTCGAGGCCGAGGTCTCGGCGCATAGCAATGCCATCGTGTCGCTGGACAACACCGGCCAGGAGATGATCAATCAGCAGCACTTTGCCTCCGAGACTATTCAGCGGCGACTGGATGAGCTCCATCAGCTGTGGGAGCTGCTGCTCAGCCGCCTGGCTGAGAAGGGTCTGAAGCTGCAGCAGGCGCTGGTTCTAGTGCAGTTCCTGCGCCAGTGCGAGGAGGTCATGTTCTGGATCAAAGACAAGGAGACCTTTGTTACGGCCGATGAGTTCGGCCAGGATCTGGAGCACGTGGAGGTCTTGCAGCGTAAGTTCGACGAATTCCAGAAGGACATGGCCTCGCAGGAGTACCGTGTAACCGAAGTGAACCAGCTGGCCGACAAACTCATCCAGGATGGCCACCCCGAGCGCGACACCATCACCAAGCGCAAGGAGGAGCTCAACGAGGCCTGGCAGCGGCTCAAGCAGCTGGCCATCGTGCGCCAGGAGAAGCTCTTCGGTGCCCACGAGATCCAGCGCTTCAACCGAGATGCCGATGAGACTGTCGCCTGGATCGCTGAGAAGGATGTGGTCCTCTCCTCCGACGACTATGGCCGCGACTTGGCCAGCGTTCAGGCCCTGCAGCGCAAGCACGAGGGCGTAGAGCGCGATCTGGCTGCCCTCGAGGACAAGGTGTCAACACTGGGCGCTGAGGCCCAGCGTCTGTGCTCCATCCATGCGGATCACAGCGATCAGATCCGCGACAAGCAATCGGAGATCGCCAACTACTGGCAGAGTCTGACTGCCAAGGCCCGCGAACGCAAGCAGAAGCTAGACGAGTCCTACTATCTGCATCGCTTCCTCGCCGATTTCCGCGACCTGGTGTCGTGGATCAACGGCATGAAGGCCATTATCTCGGCCGATGAACTGGCCAAGGATGTGGCTGGGGCCGAGGCCCTGCTGGAGCGTCACCAAGAGCACAAGGGCGAAATCGATGCCCGCGAGGACAGCTTCAAGCTAACCACCGAGTCCGGCCAAAAGCTGCTGGAGCGCGAGCACTACGCCGCCGCCGAGATCCAAGAGAAGCTGGGCGCACTGGAGAACGACAAGAGCTCGCTGCTGTCCCTGTGGGAGGATCGCCGCATCCTGTACGAGCAGTGCATGGATCTGCAGCTCTTCTACCGCGACACCGAGCAGGCAGACACCTGGATGGCCAAGCAGGAGGCATTCCTGGCCAATGAGGATCTGGGCGACTCGCTCGACTCGGTGGAGGCTCTGATCAAGAAGCATGAGGACTTTGAAAAGAGTCTGGCCGCCCAAGAGGAAAAGATCAAGGCCCTGGACATTTTCGCCACCAAGCTGATCGATGGCCAGCACTATGCTGCCGACGATGTGGCCCAGCGTCGCCAGATGCTGTTGGCCCGCCGTGCCGCCCTCCAGGAAAAGTCGGCAAAGAGGCGCCAGCTGCTGGAGGACTCGAACAGATACCAGCAATTCGAGCGGGACTGCGACGAGACCAAGGGCTGGATCAGCGAGAAGCTGAAGTTTGCCACAGACGACAGCTACCTGGACCCCACCAATCTGAACGGAAAGATGCAGAAGCATCAGAATTTCGAGCACGAGCTGAACGCCAACAAGTCGCGCATCGAGGACATCACCAATGTGGGCACGGAACTGATCGAGAAGCAGCACTATGCCGCCGATCAGATCAACACGCGCATGCAGGAGATTGTGGTGCTCTGGGAGACGCTCGTTCAGGCCTCCGACAAGAAGGGATGCAAGTTGAACGAGGCCTGCCAGCAGCAGCAGTTCAATCGAACCATCGAGGACATTGAGCTCTGGCTGAGCGAGATCGAGGGCCAGCTGCTGTCGGAGGATCACGGCAAGGACCTAACCTCTGTGCAGAATCTCCAGAAGAAGCACGCCCTCCTCGAGGCCGATGTCATGGCTCATCAGGATCGCATAGAAAGCATCAAGGTGGCTGCCAATAAGTTTATCGAATCCGGGCACTTTGATGCAGACAATATCCGCAACAAGGAGGGCAACCTGTCGGCCCGCTATGCTGCCCTCGCCGCGCCCATGAGCGAGCGCAAGCAGCATTTGTCGGACTCGCTGCACGTGCAGCAGCTGTTCCGTGACCTGGAGGACGAGGCGGCCTGGATAAGGGAGAAGGAGCCCATCGCCGCCTCAACCAATCGGGGACGCGATCTGATTGGAGTGCAGAACCTGATCAAGAAGCATCAGGCCGTGCTCGCGGAGATTAACAACCACGAGGCCAGGCTGCTGAATGTTATCAGTTCGGGCGATAATATGCTGAAAGACCAGCCGTTCGCAAGCGACGACATCCGGCAGCGATTGGAGGCCCTGCAGGAGCAGTGGAACAACCTCAAGGAGAGGTCCAATCAGCGCAAGCAGGATCTCGATGACTCGCTGCAGGCCCATCAATACTTTGCGGATGCCAACGAGGCCGAGTCGTGGATGCGCGAGAAGGAGCCGATCGCCACCGGCAGCGATTACGGCAAGGATGAGGACTCTTCGGAGGCGCTGCTGAAGAAACACGAGGCGCTTGTCTCCGATCTGGAGGCCTTCGGCAACACCATCCAGGCCCTGCAGGAGCAGGCCAAGAACTGTCGCCAGCAGGAGACACCCGTGGTGGATATCACTGGCAAAGAGTGCGTCGTGGCCCTCTACGACTACACGGAGAAGTCACCCCGCGAGGTGTCCATGAAGAAGGGCGATGTCCTCACTCTCCTGAACTCAAACAACAAGGACTGGTGGAAGGTGGAGGTCAACGATCGACAGGGCTTCGTCCCAGCTGCCTACATCAAGAAGATCGAGGCCGGGCTCAGTGCCTCGCAGCAGAACCTTGTGGACAATCATTCGATTGCCAAGCGCCAGAACCAGATCAACTCGCAGTACGACAATCTGCTGGCCCTGGCTCGCGAGCGCCAGAACAAGCTGAACGAGACGGTGAAGGCGTACGTGCTGGTGCGCGAGGCTGCCGATCTGGCGCAGTGGATCCGCGACAAGGAGAACCATGCCCAGATCGCAGATGTGGTCGGTGAGGATCTGGAGGAGGTGGAGGTGCTACAGAAGAAGTTCGACGACTTCAATGACGACCTGAAGGCCAACGAAGTGCGTCTGGCCAACATGAACGAAATCGCCGTCCAATTGACGTCGCTAGGACAGACGGAGGCCGCCCTCAAGATCCAGACCCAGATGCAGGATCTAAACGAGAAGTGGAACAACCTGCAGACGCTCACCACCGAAAAGGCCAGCCAGCTGGGCTCCGCCCACGAGGTGCAGCGCTTCCATCGCGACATTGACGAGACCAAGGACTGGATCGCCGAGAAGGCCAATGCCCTGAACAATGACGATCTGGGCAAGGATCTGCGTAGCGTGCAGACACTCCAGCGCAAGCACGAGGGCGTTGAGCGTGATCTCGCCGCACTGCGCGACAAGATCCGTCAGCTGGACGAGACGGCCAACCGTTTGATGCAATCTCATCCGGACACCGCCGAACAGACGTATGCCAAGCAGAAGGAGATCAACGAGATGTGGGACCAGATCATCACCAAGTCCACCGCCCGCAAGGAGAAGCTGCTCGACTCGTACGACCTGCAGCGCTTCCTCAGCGACTATCGCGATCTGCTCGCCTGGATCAACTCGATGATGAGCCTGGTCACCTCCGATGAGCTGGCCAATGATGTCACCGGCGCTGAGGCGCTCATTGAACGTCATCAGGTAAGAGATGGAATCCAGTGGACCCCAGAGACCTTTGCAGTGTAGATGTAGCAGAGTATCTTTAAGGATTATCTGCAAGGTATCTGCAAGGGTATTCAGAGCTTCGGTCATGCCGAAGGTGTTGTTTTCTTCCAGTTGAAACTGTGGCCAGATCTATTGATGGAGCATTTTATTAACTCTTGTATCCCTCTCTATTGATTCTTTCGTTTTGGTTTTTCGGTTCGTTTCCACGTCATAAACCAATCGCAAACTCGATTTATCGACGACCTACAAAACAATCAATCAATCAATCAACAATCAAACTACAACAATGGTTCATGGTTCCATGGTTCATGACAAACAACATCCAAACAAACAAACAAACTCCCATCATGGTTATGTTTCTGCATTACAAACATCACAACCCAAACAAAATCCGAATCGGTATCCTGTATCCTGGATCCTGGATCCTGGATCTAGGCACAACGTGCTGAGATTGAGTTCACTCTGGGCAGCTCCGTCCCTGCAGTTACAGGCACAGCCACAGCCACTGGGGCTTCGACCGCAAGCATCGCATCACCCGCATCTGGCGACGAGGTAGATCCTTCGGCTAACCCATTATCATCAGCAGTGATTCCGTTGTATCTTTGTGTGTTTTTTCTCTCTCTCTGTGTTCTGTTCATCTGTGTGCCATGCCATCCATTTCATTTTGTTGCTCTTCGAATCATCCGAATATTCCGAATATTTGTTGGATGGATTTCTTATTTCCAGATAAATTTATTGTTCTTGGAAAGTTTTATGAAACCCACCCAAAAAAGAACAGCATGCAACCAAAGACATTTAAATAATAAGATGCCGAACACCAGAACTTCATCCTGTATATACATACATATGTATATGTATATGATTTATACAATATATTTTATGGGACAGCCAACGCAGAACGCAGACCACGATCTCTCTCTTGGGAAACTATTTGATTCGAGTTTTGGGAATATTGTATCCGTTTCCATTTTTCCTGTACTGTTTTTTATTCCATTCGCTACATCTGTCACTCTCTCTCTGAGCGACTCTCTCTTTCACTTCTCACAGCAATAGCAGCGGTGTGGCTATTCCGCTCTATTTCGCTACAGGGCGCACACTGCACTATTAAGAGTGAGATGGGGAGAGAGAGAGAGAGATAGAAAGAATGAGTAAGCGAGTGGAGAGCGTAGCATAGCCACTGAAATTTCATTTCTTCCTTTTGGATATAAAAATGATCCAATTTGGCAAACTGGTTTTGATGCAGAATCGAGGTCGGAAACGCTTTCTTCTGGCTGTTACACACACATCCACATATATCCCAAAACTCTTTGAATACCGGGTATACAAATTCTGAGCCGGACGCTCTTTGGTTCCTGAGATACTTTTTGAATGCACGAGTATGTGTGCACTAGAGCTTAAGAACTAAAAAACCTCGATAAATCATTACTCGAGGAGTCGATCGTTTTGAAACTAGGACTTCATAGATGAATTTTCGATTATATTATTATTTTATTGTCTTTTGGTGAAACTTTTTATGAATAATCGAGTGTACAAATATCGAAATTCAAGCATATTCCTTGGCTTTTGCTTAACCATACACACACACATAGTCATACACAGATACACAGACTGACAGACACTATTATTTGTTGGTTGAATAACCCCAAGAATTGTATTGTTATATCATCTAATACTGGGATAATCCATCCACATCAGCATCCATACTCTGATATCACTCTCACTCCGACACACACACACTCAGTTCACAGGCAAAAAGGAAGAGCCGCAAAGAAAAGTGTAATCTGGATACGCCTAAAATATCGGCTATAGCTTCTCAAAATTCTCTACATCGTGTAAAAAGAAACCTCAACCTTATACATTGTACATTTCTGTTCAGCAAATTCGATCTTTCCTGGGGCAGTCATTAAATCGTATCCGCACACATCGATCATCTTCCAATACTGTCAGACACACAGACTCTACTCTGATTTTATCTGATCATCATCTAAATCGAATTCTTTCCTTAACCCTATTTCGTTCCACGTTTGTTTGTTGGTTTTTGACTAATTTGAAGCTTGAAGCTGCAGCAAATAAATAAACCCAGCCCAGGCAGCCAGCCACAGTTGCATATTGTTGTTCTAACCCCCACCAGGCGTTGATATCTTTTTGGGAATTATAGAATTTAGGAACTAATCGTTTGCTATTCGGAATACCCTTAGGAACACCGAACGGAGATCGATGCTCGCGCTGGAACCTTTGGGGCCTTCGAGCAGTTTGGCAACGAGTTGCTGCAGGCCAACCATTACGCCTCGCCGGAGATCAAGGAGCAGATCGAGGATCTGGCCAAGGCCAGGGAGGATCTGGAGAAGGCCTGGACCGAGCGCCGTCTGCAGCTGGAGCAGAACTTGGATCTGCAGCTGTACATGCGAGACTGCGAGCTGGCCGAGTCCTGGATGTCGGCCCGCGAGGCCTTCCTCAATGCGGACGATGATGCCAATGCCGGCGGCAATGTGGAGGCGCTGATCAAGAAGCACGAGGACTTTGACAAGGCAATCAACGGGCACGAGCAGAAGATAGCCGCCCTACAGACGGTGGCCGATCAGTTGATCGCCCAGAACCACTACGCCTCCACTGCGGTGGACGAGAAGCGCAAGCAGGTGCTGGAGCGCTGGCGCCACCTCAAGGAAGGTCTCATCGAGAAGCGCTCCCGCCTGGGCGATGAGCAGACGCTGCAGCAGTTCTCGCGCGATGCCGACGAGATCGAGAACTGGATTGCCGAGAAGCTGCAGCTGGCCACCGAGGAGAGCTACAAGGATCCGGCCAACATCCAGTCGAAACATCAGAAGCATCAGGCCTTCGAGGCAGAGCTGGCGGCCAATGCTGATCGCATACAGAGCGTGCTGGCGATGGGCGGCAATCTGATTGACAAGAAACAGTGCAGCGGCTCGGAGGATGCGGTGCAGAAGCGGCTGACACAGATCGCCGATCAGTGGGAATACCTGACGCACAAGACGACTGAGAAGTCGCTGAAGCTGAAGGAGGCCAACAAGCAGCGCACTTATATCGCTGCTGTCAAGGATTTGGACTTCTGGTTGGGCGAAGTCGAGAGTCTGTTGACCACTGAGGATTCTGGTAAGGATTTGGCCTCTGTCCAAAACCTCATGAAGAAGCATCAGTTGGTCGAGGCGGATATCGTGGCGCACGAAGACCGCATCAAGGACATGAACAACCAGGCCGATTCCTTGGTCGAGAGCGGTCAGTTTGACACTGCTGGCATCCAGGAGAAGCGTCAGAGCATCAATGAGCGATACGAGCGCATTTGCAACTTGGCCGCCCACCGTCAGGCCCGCCTCAACGAGGCTCTCACCCTGCACCAATTCTTCCGCGACATTGCCGACGAGGAGAGCTGGATTAAGGAGAAGAAGCTGCTCGTCGGCTCCGATGACTACGGTCGCGATTTGACCGGTGTCCAGAACCTCAAGAAGAAGCACAAGCGTCTCGAGGCCGAGCTGGCGAGCCACGAGCCAGCTATCCAGGCTGTCCAGGAGGCCGGCGAGAAGTTGATGGACGTCTCCAATTTGGGAGTTCCCGAAATCGAGCAGCGTCTAAAGGCCCTCAATCAGGCCTGGGCCGAGCTCAAGAATCTGGCTGCCACGCGTGGCCAGAAGCTTGATGAGTCGCTGACCTATCAGCAGTTCTTGGCCCAGGTCGAGGAGGAGGAGGCCTGGATCACCGAGAAGCAGCAGCTGCTCTCCGTGGAGGACTACGGTGACTCTATGGCCGCTGTCCAGGGTCTGCTGAAGAAGCACGATGCCTTTGAGACGGACTTCACGGCGCACAAGGACCGCTGCTCGCTGATCTGCGACCAGGGCAGCGAGCTGGTGGAGGCCAAGAACCACCACGGTGACTCCATTGCCCAGCGCTGCCAGCAGCTGCGCAACAAGCTGGAGAACCTCAATGCCCTGGCTGCCCGTCGCAAGGGAGCCCTGCTGGACAACTCCGCCTATCTGCAGTTCATGTGGAAGGCCGATGTGGTTGAGAGCTGGATTGATGACAAGGAGAACTATGTGCGATCCGATGAGTTTGGACGTGATCTGTCCACGGTGCAAACGCTGTTGACCAAACAAGAGACATTTGACGCAGGTAAGTGGGATCTTTAGGTGCTCTCTATTGAGAATTTTGACTTATTTTTGTGTTCGGTTCTTTCGTTTAGGTCTCAATGCCTTCGAACAGGAGGGCATCCACAACATCACGGCACTGAAGGACCAACTCATCAATGCTAGTCACGCCCAATCGCCGGCCATACTGAAGCGTCACGGGGATGTGATCGCCCGCTGGCAGAGTCTGCGCGACGCCTCCGATACGCGCAAGCAGCGGCTGTTGGCCATGCAGGAGCAGTTCCGCCAAATCGAGGAACTCTACTTGACATTTGCCAAGAAAGCTTCGGCCTTCAATTCTTGGTTCGAAAATGCCGAAGAGGATCTCACAGATCCTGTTCGCTGCAATTCGATCGAAGAAATACGCGCGTTGCGCGACGCCCACGCACAATTCCAAGCGTCTCTGTCCTCGGCCGAAGCTGACTTTAAGGCATTGGCAGCACTCGACCAGAAGATCAAGAGCTTTAATGTTGGACCGAATCCATACACTTGGTTCACCATGGAAGCTCTTGAGGAGACCTGGCGTAATCTGCAAAAGATCATAGAGGAACGCGATGGGGAACTTGCCAAGGAGGCCAAGCGCCAGGAGGAGAACGACAAGCTGCGAAAGGAGTTTGCCAAGCATGCCAATCTCTTCCACCAATGGCTGACAGAAACAAGGTGAGTGTGTAATAGTATAATAGAGAAGCCACGACATGCCATATCCCGGCTGTGCGCGATTGTGTGTTGGTTTTTCCATAATCCATGGTATCCCTGCCCTGCCCCTCAATCCACAATCCCTCCCTCCCCACACACACACACGGAATCCATTTCAACGAAAACAAACTCTTGGTGGTCTCAATCTCAATCCATTCGAACCATGAAAAGCGTAACTGAAACGTTCAATTCTATTTTTCTAGATATTATATGCTGGGTTATAACCGTCAAGGGTAATTAAGAAGGCGTCCTCAGTCTTGTTTCTGCGTTTGAAACTATTTTCTTTTGTGAATTTTGATTTGATTATTTGTAATCCTTCGTGTGTGGTTTGTTCGTTCGTTCGTTCGAGAGGCCGGCTGGTCTGTCCAGCAGAAAGGCCTCCCCTAACAGCTGCGCCTCCACTAACCAAGCGCCAAACGCCTCCTCTTTTGGGAAATAACTTTTGCTATTGCGCTTCGTGCCCGAACTCTTTGTAAATATCCTCTATCTAAGATCGAGCAGCGATAGCGACTACAACAACAACAACAGCAGCAGCAGCAGCAGTTTTCAAATTTAACAGCTTAGATTTTTAGTACTATTCGGCCACTCTGTATCATAGTGCATATCAGTATAAATAGATGGTCGCTAACAGGCCGATCTGCTGCCGAGCTGCAGTTGCAGCATTGCGACTATTCATTTCTTTACGGTCACACTTGAAACTTATTCTCAAAACTCTTTTCGAAATTACTTGAAAACTAATTCTTGAGCATGTGACAAAATATAATAAATGCTATGCATAATAAATAATGTTTTAGCGTACAGAAATACATATGTAGAAATTTCAATTATTACGTTCGTTGACTACAACTTTAGTAGATTTTTTTGTTTGTTTCAAAATACAAACTTGGAAATTCCTTTGGCGCTTTTCTTATTTTTAACTCGCTTTATAGCCATTAGACAATTATTGTCCTTATTAGTTGCTGAATTCCATGAACCAAAAAAACAAAAAACAAAAAGAAAACCATTTATATGATTCTAAAACTACACTAACCTCTCTACTCTGCTCGAGTGTTCCGATACTCGTGAAACCCGATGAAATTCCCATAAAAAGAACAAAATTCCGACACCTGTAAATACGAACATGAAGGGACGACAAGTTAGTTGTGAGAGCCCCCACAAACAAAAAACAAGAATTTATTCGCTGCCCGTAACAGACCTCTAACAAGATTTGCTTTTCTTATGCATTATATCATTGTAACGTTCTAATTTCTTTTGAGAACTAAACTCAATCTAAACCCTGACCTTTCGTCGTGCTGTACTAACGAATTCTATTTTATTTTTGCAAACCTCTCAACCCACTCCAATCCAATCCAATTCCATGCACAGAACATCGATGATGGAAGGCTCCGGTTCCCTGGAACAGCAACTGGATGCGCTTCGCGTCAAGGCCACAGAGGTGCGAGCCCGTCGCGTCGATCTGAAGAAGATCGAGGAGCTGGGCGCTCTGCTCGAGGAACATCTGATCTTGGACAATCGCTACACGGAACATTCGACTGTCGGTCTGGCCCAGCAATGGGATCAATTGGATCAGCTGTCGATGCGAATGCAGCATAACTTGGAGCAACAGATCCAGGCACGCAATCACTCTGGTGTCTCCGAGGACTCACTCAAGGAGTTCTCGATGATGTTCAAGCACTTCGACAAGGACAAGAGCGGAAAGCTAAACCACCAGGAGTTCAAGTCATGCCTGCGCGCCCTCGGCTACGATTTGCCTATGGTTGAGGAGGGACAACCCGACCCAGAGTTCGAGGCCATTCTCGATGTGGTCGATCCCAACCGCGACGGCTACGTTTCCCTGCAGGAGTACATTGCGTTTATGATTTCCAAGGAAACCGAGAATGTGCAATCCTATGAAGAAATCGAGAATGCCTTCCGCGCTATCACTGCCGCTGACCGCCCCTACGTCACCAAGGAGGAGCTCTACTGCGTAAGTTTTGTCAGCTGTCCTGTCTTTTGGTCGATTACATTACTCATCTGACTTTGTGCATTTCCAGAACCTCACCAAGGACATGGCGGACTATTGTGTGCAACGGATGAAGCCCTTCTCGGAACCGCGCTCCGGCCAGCCCATCAAGGATGCTCTGGACTATATCGATTTCACGCGAACGCTATTCCAGAACTAGAGGGCTTTCGGTCTTGTTCAGTGGCGCCTGAGAATATGTCTTACAATCTAAAACAAAACAAAACAAAATTATATATTTACACAATTTTTTGTCAATATTTTTAGTCTCTAAGTCGAAACAATTTAAAGCTTATTTTAGAAATTATGCCACAATGAACCTAAAATCAACAGTAATAGCACCCTGCAATACATACATACATATTTATCAAAATGACTATAAACCTGTTTGAAGTTTTTGCATTTTTATTTTTACCAGCCACCTCCCGTACCTCCCGTAAAGTATCTTAAAGTTGGACATTTCTGTTTGAGGATTTACCACCGCCTGAAATAATAGTTACATTCTGTACACTCTGTATTCAAACTAATCTCTGAGCCACGCCTACGATCTAGAAAATAAATACGAGTATTTACAACGTAATTGCATATGAAGCGCCATTAAACGCTTAGCTTCCAGTAAAGTAAAGTAAACAAGCATTATACACTTTCTATAGTCGTTTCGTCGAATGTCTGTAATCGAAATATCAAAAAGTTTAAGATACTATTGCTATACTATCCGAATTAAATACATAATGATCCAGCCTTTTCCTGTTTTCTGTTTGTCCAGTTTCTACGTGTATTCGAAACGAAAGAGTTTTGAGATATCTTGAGCAAATAAAATATTTTATAAAAAATACAAAAAGAGAAAAAAGCTTAACAAACAATAAATATTGCCTCTGTATTGAACACATATTTACAATCCGTGAATTGCAAATAAATACATATATTGCTGCATGTCTAAAAATGTTAAATATAACGAGGTTTACTTCTGAATGCCGTTGCTGGGGACTGGGAGGGATTCGGTTTCAATCCAGGAGTCGAACAGAAATCTCATCTCTTTATTTATTTTCGATTTATTCTTTAGAAAACATTAATATTTACAATTATAACAAAAACTTTTTTATGCTATCCGCGTATGCGACATTCGTTAGCTTCCCGTCGAGGGCATCCTTGGGCAGCCACTCGTACTTGGGACCCGGCGTCTTCTTGTCACCCACATTGCCAGTGCGGAGGGAGGCGCGATAGAAGAACACCTTGGCCCCGACGCTCTCGGCCCGCTGATTGCTGGGGTACTTGTACTTGTGGAAGCCCACGGGTGCGTTTCCGTAGAAGAGCACCTGCAGATCGTCTCCGCACTGTTCGCGTAGCACACGCTCCGCCGTCTGGCGCATGGACTCACCGTCTTGGCGCTTTCCCTGCGGCAGGATCATGTGCTGCTCCTGGCCGAGCTTTTGTTGCACCAGCAAATAGAGCGTGTCCTCCAGACACCGGTCCGTTGAGCTGGTCTTTTTAGCCGCATCATCGGGAGTCGTGCGGGAGCCCAATTGGAATTTCTTCAGCTCCTCGACGTATGCATCTTTCAGGTCTTGGGCGGTCTGCTTGGTCATGCTGTCGTCCAGATCCACCTGCACTTTTCCCTGCTTGATGAGCTTGGCCTGGGCCAATTCCCGTTCGTTCTTGAGCTCATGGTCGGACTTCAGGCTGTTCTCGTACTCGACACGCCACAGCAAGTCTTGGAACTGCTGCTCCACAGGGCTTAGTGACTTGGAGACCACGGGCAGTCGTTCCACGAGAACGCCGGCGTAAAGATCCCATTTCTCCTGGGCGGCTGCTGTGGACTGGGCGCGAGTCGCTTGCCTGGCCCCAACCTGCACAAAGCGTCGTAGCATTGTTCAGTTTTTAATTTAAAAGTTTATGGCAAAAAATCCAAAAAAAACGAGCCCCGATTACATGAGCAGCAGAACATATGTTCGCGAGTTGCATTTGCCACCTATCGCTATCGGTATCGGAAAGCGCGTCGCTAGCGTTTTACCGTATCCGTATTTGCCTTTTTCTGACAAATAAAACGAAATAAGGTGAAAAATGTCCGGCCTGGAATCCTATATCAACCACACCGTGTCCATAATTACTGCGGATGGACGGAACTTCATCGGGACACTGAAGGGCTTCGACCAGACCATCAACATCATCATCGACGAGTGTCATGAGCGGGTTTTCTCAACGTCGTCCGGCATCGAGCAGATTGTGCTGGGACTACATATCATTCGCGGCGACAACATTGCAGTAATTGGATTGATTGACGAGAGCATCGACTCCCGCCTGGACTTCGCCAACATCCGTGGGGAGCCTCTGGGGCCCGTTGTGCACTAATGAATAGCGAATAAAACAAGACTCTTTATATTTACTAAAATGCATGTAATTTATTTCAATATGACTTTATATTTCATTCAGATTCTACGCTAAAGCTTATCTGCCTACAGGAGAGCGTGTCCAGATCTACCACGGCGACGCTCTTCGTCTTGCCGAAGCTGGGCACGCAGACTAAGCATGTGCGTTTCCCCTCGGAGGTAACATGAAGTGCCGTTTCGAAGGCTTCGCAGTTTCCTGCAAAGTAGACGTGGGGACACTCCCGCATGATGAATGGATCGTTTTCGATGTACGGATAGCAGGCCAGAGTGTCTGGGGCTGTGGGGGCCACATGGCCCCATGTTAGGGTGCAGCGTAGGGCCTCTAGAGAAGACTCCATCGAAGTACTGCGGAGGAGATCTGCCACATTCTGACCTGCAGTGCCCACAATGAGAGCATCATCCAGGCGACAATTGTACGGATTGGTCACGGCCTGGAACGATGTGAGTTGTGCCGCTTGGGGAAACATGCATTTGTGGAACGGCTGTTGCGGCAGCATAAAGTTGGCCGGATCGTAAGCGCCCGGCATCACATCGATGGGCAGGCATTGCGCCCACGAGGCGAACCAACTGTCCAGCTGGGTGACCGCCTGGACAGTGTCGTTGGCGTTCGCTTGTGAGCGTGCTACCTGCAGGGTCGGAACATGCGCCACTGCACTGCCGCGCACCGAGTTTCCGGCTATGATCAATCGGACCAAGGATTTGGCATCTTTCCCATTGCCCAGACTGCCGCTAAGCCAGTACTGAAACAGGTTCAGTGCTTCTACATAGGTGTGGGCCTGCAGCTGATCCAAGCCAGATACAAGCACCAGCAGACGGTTCCGTATGGTAGACAAAGGCTTCTGTGGCCCACTTTCATAGTACATCACATCGTCGACGTTGAAAAAGCCTTCGTTATCTGTTCCGCCCAGGACGGCGCACACGATGCCGGTGGCCATGAGCTGGGTCTGCAGCATCTTACCCTGTAAACGCACCCGCTGCAATTCATCCTCTAGGATCACCTTGTCTTCAGGCTCCGAGTAATTCTGTCGCGGGGGCTGGGGTGCCAATTGATTCTCCTCGGATATGTCCCTTAGGATGCTGGGCTTGTGGGCCTGGTGCTTGTAGATGGTGCCAATCAGGATGCAGTGCACATCCTGTTCGCCACGCAGCTCGCACAGCTTCTTAATTGGCTCCGTTTTTCCCCACTTCTTCTGGGCAAGCGGCGTCAGGAGGCGCGTCATCTCGGCCAAGCGGTGAGCGTACAGGTGACAGAACTGCTTCTGGTAATTGTACTCCTTCAGCAGATATTGGCTGCTTAAGTTCTCGTAGGAGCTCTCAAACCGAAGAGTCATTATTTACGCTTTTATGGATGTTCTTTTATACTTTTAAAGTGTGCGTCCGTCCACCTATCTATCGATAACAACGATCACTAGTCACCGTGTTGCTCTCGTTATCGCATAGATTGATTGATTCCAAAAATTGCGCCAAACCTGCGCAACAGAATTCCCGTCGACAAACAGCTGTTTTTTTTACGATGATACCGGTTGATTAAAGATAAAATTTGAAATTTCAAGTTGATTTCAACTATTTTAAAAAATGTATTTTTCTTGGCTACAAAATTAACGTTAAGCGTAAAAAATTGTAGTTGAGGGAAGAGGAGTAAATATACGTATAAGCATTAAAACAAATACTATCAAAAATTTGGTTAATTCTAAATTAAGTTCAAATCAAAAGTTGATTTTATATACCCGTCCTCCTCAGATTCGTGCTCAGTCTCTCGTGATGGCCTATGAGCTTTAGCAGCGCGCGCCTTGGCCCTGGTGTGTTTTAAAATGTCTATCACTTTCAGTTTGCTTGATTCCGTTGACGGAAGGCTAAATATTTCGCTGTATTTACTGTATTCGGCCCCATTGACAACGGACAAAAGGCTGCTGGCTGCACTTGAAGGTACGCGGCTAGACCGGTCGGAACCCTGTTGGCGTAAAAACTGATTTTTGGGAAATACATTCGCGTCGTTGTGGCTACTCATGGAGTACATGGGCGCGTTCAGCACAGTGCATACAGTGCGGATTGCATACGATAGTGCGGACTATAATCGGCTTAGTAATTTTCATGCACCAGATGGAGTAAAAAAATAGTAAAAAAATAGCTTTTATTACTTTTGGATTATATCGATAAAACGATGAACTTATTCCGTCCGTTCACGTCAGTGAATAGTTCGTTTTTTTCGTTCATGAACCACCCAACACTAAAGAAGAGAGCAACTGAAATTCAGCGAAAAAGTGGATTTGGAAAAAAAGAGTTTTGGATGTGTTAATGCAATGCATTTAGTGAATAAAGGCACAAACGAGATGGGGAACAATGTGATAGCGTGAATGGAGTGCCTCATGCCTCCTGCTCAGTTGCCAGTGCTGATTTGGCGAATGTTTAACAGAGCGTATTGATTTTTACGGCTGCGGGGACTGCTACGCATTTTGTTGTTTATTGTTTTCCACAGCAGGTCACAACAAAAACTGCGTCGCAGGACGGTGAAGCATGAAAGTGGGGTTTTAGCTGGATTAAAGAACGAGAAGCCAGCCAGCGAAGCGACATGGGTGGTTCCGTGAGCCAAGTGTTCCGTTCTGGGTCGGCACTGCTTTCACATCGCGATGGCCACAAAGTGTCGAAGGCAACGGAGGAGAAGATCCAGACGCTGTTCGAAATACTGCGTGCCAATCCCAAAATCTCGCTGCAAACACTCGAAAGCCTTCTGATTCAGATACCGAAGAACGAGAATATCCTGGTCATATACGATGATTGCGGATACAACATCCTGCAGCGCAGCGTCGGCCTAAATCACATTGATCTCACCAAGTGGCTCTTGCACCGCCACCGGCCCGATGTGAACCGTTCCCCCTGCTCCCTGCCGCTGCACATAGCTACCCTCCGAGGCTACGAAGAATGCGTGGAACTTCTCCTGCGCCACGGTGCGCGTATCGACGTGGATACCCGGATGTGCTTCCCCGGCGCCCATACGCACAACTGCGAGGAAAGCGGCAAGTGGCACAACAATGTAGACGACGTCAGCGAGCGATTGAACAACAAGCTTCAAAATGCTCTGTGCTATGCGATCGATGGCGACCAGTACAATGTTCTGAGCCTGCTCACACAGAAGATGGAAGAGCCTTGGATACCGTTTCGAGCTAAAAAGCCGCTCTTGCACTTGGCCTGCGAGCGCGGTGCATGGAATTGTGTCCAGCAGCTGGTCCTGACGCGATCGGAAGAGATAAATCTTATCATGGATGAGTACTATCCGATACACCATGCCGTGCTGCATGATGGCCGCTTTCTCGAGCTACTTATACAGCAGGGAGCCGTGACCACAGTACGTACCTGTACCCAGCAGATGACCTTGCTCCATGTCGGTGAGTTCAAGATGGAATTAATCTCTCAACGTGATAGCAGAATGTTATGAAAACAACATTCCCCATGCAGTTATATTTGCTGCACGTAAACCGGCCGAGGACACGCTGGCCACTCTTCGCATCCTACTGGAACGCGGCTGCAAGGAGCTGATCAATGCCCCCGACTCGCTGGGGAACACGCCACTGCATGCACTCATCGTGCGCTATGCTTTGGAGGAAGCTCGTTACGGCTACGACAAATGGAGCAAGTGGGACGTTTTGTATTTGGTGCGGTTCCTGCTGCAGAACGGAGCTAAGCAGTCCATCAATCAGGCGGGCAACAGTGCCATGGCCTGTGTATTTCGCCACCTGCGCGACTGGGAGGTCTGCTACGAGCTACTCAATATGCTCATCAAGGAGGATGGTAAGGGGAGAAAACTCCTGTGCATTGAATCGTTATTGGGATGTGGTATACTGGATATACTCTTGCAGGTGATCCCAACATTGTGGGCAGGGATGGGTCTGTGCCCATAATGGTACTGTTAGTGCCGCTAATCAACAAGGACCATCTTCATCATTTTACGCATTCAATGAAGGTGAGTCCAAGCAAACATATATCCTGGCAGAACGTATAGTAACCTGTAGTTTTAGGTCTGCTATCTGAACTGCATACGCATTTTGCTGCAGCATGGCGCGAATCCGAACTGTTCGTATCGCGCCAATCTTAAGCCGCTGCACGTTCTCGTGTTCACGGTTAGCGAGAACTTTACCCTCAATTGTGATGCACAGAAGCGCACAAACTTTGATTTTATCAAGAACATTCTGCTGCTGCTGCTGCAGCATGGCCTGGACTGCAACAAGACATATCAGCACATTCTGCAGGCTGTCATGGATATGGTGCAGAATGTGCGCACTTGCCACGACATGGAGTGCATATACGAGCTGACGCTGACGCTCATTCAGTACGGGGCCGATCCGAATATTGTGCTGAGCAGCAAGACTACGCCGGGCATAGCGATCTTCTCGAGCGAAATTGCCAGCTACGGCGAGGCTCTGGGCGGCGGTGGGGCCGCCGCTGCTTTGGGGGGCGATAACACGTTCCGCAACTCTTTCCGCACAAACTCTCGATATCTGCTTTTTTACTATATTATACTGATAACGAAGAAGGAATTTATACTCAACGATCCGCATTTGACGTTTACGCGTATCATCCATCTCTTTTACCTGACCATGGAGCACGAGCCGCTCTACAATTGCCTCAAGTCGCTGCACAACTTCTACGTTGCCCAAGTTCCCAGCAAGAAGACCGAACAACTGATTGCCCTGATATCCTCGCTCTACCGCAAGCCGCGCAGCCTCAAGCAACTGGCTCGCTGGGCTATATACGAGGCGCTGAACCGCAAACTGGCCCCAAATGTCAATCGCTTGAACCTGCCCAGCCCGCTCAAGGACTATGTGCTGCAGTTCGAGAGATAACAAGTGGGCGTCGTCGATGTTAACCCTTAACGACCAATGAAACCCAACCACAAAAAACTAAAATCAATCATTACTGCAATTGTTATGTTGCCCCTAAGCTGTATACTGATTAATATGCATATTTACCGCATACTAATACACCTACGACGAGGTATCGTATGTGGGTAACCAATAATTACAAATTATACATACATACTCGTGTGTATTTGATATATGAAAACGCTTAAACGTATGTACCTAGAGAACTACAACAACACAACTAAAATATTGGCAAAATCAAATGTGTGCAATTTCTTTGATACGAATCTATTATTGGAAAGGAAAAGAAAGCTCATCTACTCGTATGTTTTGTATTTATATTGTATACGTATTCAGATTGTATAGCTATTGTATAATGTATTGCGCTTTATTGTAAACTGTAAGCACGTCCCGAATTCGGTGCCCAGCTGCCGACAGGTGACGTCTATTCCTATCTGCACCGATCCTATCCCCTGATACTATCTCATGCCGTAACCGTATATCGGAATCGGAGATCAGCATTAACTTGAGGCTTTTGAACTGATGAATATTGGGTGTTTTAGAATATTGTATTGTATTTGCAATTGACGAGATGTTATATAATAAATATTGTCATTATTGTTGCTAAAAAGTTGTTAATCTCTGTATCTGCAATGTAATTTCAATCGAATGAATAACGATCAATCAATAAATAAAGAAATTTTTCGCCATCGTAATTTGGATACAAACCGAACAAAAGATTTATGACAAGAACGTTTTTAGTTGAGTCACTGAGATTATCGGATAATGCCACCGCCTGGCGTCGGTGTCATCCCTTCATTTGCACAGGCCAGACAAAGTAACGGGACCGAGCAAAGAAAACAGCCAACCTCAAACCGTTCTCTGCGCTTCCCAAAAGTTAAGGGTAATACGAGTTACACGGTGCTTCAACTCTTTGGATTAAGAGTGTCAACTGAAATGAAATTTCTTAATGGCGTCCTTGTGCGCCACACATGAGCACTCACGGAATGCAGCCTACAGGCTCCTGGCGGCAGGAACAGACAGGCTGAGTACCCCAGAGGCGGTGAAATTTACTGATCGCGATGGGCTGGAGTGTGACGGTTGGCTTCTTCACTCAAGGCCGACATCCGACCGGAACGTGGAGCCGGTTGGCCAGACTGGAAGTTGAACGTCCCTTTCAGCCCACAGAAAGGGTCGAGTACCGGGTATAAAAAACAAACACAATAAGTTGCCTTAGCAACAACTATAAATACGGAATACGGAAAGTTGTCAGGCATTGAGAGTGGAAAACCCTTCCATGAAAGGAATCCCTTTGCATGATATCGCATTGAATTTTGGATTCGATTGAAACAAGAGTCACTCACCATGTACAGCCGCAAGCTGAGCCGCATGCATCGGCCGCCCTCGGACACCAGGAAATACGATAATGAGCCGTACTTGAAGAATCCCCTGCTCAAGTTCCACATCTCTGAGGTCCACGAGCGTCGACACTATCAGTTCCTTAAGCAAAAGGCGGCTGACGTGAAGGTGAGAATTGCCCGCCAGTCTTGGCATCCCGAACCGGACATCCGGCCGCTGCCGCAGTCCCATTACGTGGACAACCTGCGGCGCGAGGTGCGCAAGATAATCGTACCGCCAATGCTGCGCAAGACAGAGGCCAAGATATTGAGCTTCGCCTCGGAACGGTTGCGGCGCAGATACCCAGAGATGGTGGACTCGTACATGAAGGATGTGCATGAGGAGTTCAACCGCCTGATGAAGATCTACAGCATGAAAAACATACTGCGCCACCCTGAGTTCTCCGACGAAGACCCATCCAACTTTGAGTTGCCCCACGCAGACATCCATTTCAAGCGTCCCGGTCGCACGGGCAACTACAGCGTTTACCTGGAGAACCGCCGAAAGATTGGCCTGAAGCTGCTCATCCTGCAGCTGCCCATGCGCGCCGTACTGAACATATCGGTGTCGGATCTGCCAAACGTCGTCTGCATCTTCAAGTACGTAAGCGCCACGGGCGCCCAGCAGCAGCAGATGGGGCTGTGCGGACGCGAAGCACTCTCCTACAAGTTCTACCGCAAGTACATCCAAAACCAGCTGGACAAGGTGAACACCTTTCTTCGGTGGACTTGGTATCCCAAGCTGGTTATTGTGTTGCGGAAGATGCTGCGCAAGCGGGTGATGCCTCCGGCCTTGTGGAAGCGTGCTTGGAGCGGGTTGGAGGGACTGATGAACCGGGAGCTAAACAACATGAAGATGCGAACATTTATTGAAATGTTTCGCATCTGTAGCGATCCACGTACGATGCCCATGTTCCGTATGTCCTTGGAGTGGACCGAGACCTCCGGCGACCTGGACACGCGGCCCAACCTCTTTAGCATTCTACGCACCTTTGCTGAGATCGCCACGGAGATCTCGATGGTCGGCTATCGCATGGAGCCGCTGCAACCTCAGGTGGAAACCCTCACCACAATGGCCGCGTACGCCAAGGTCAGTGACTACCTCAAGATCGAGATGAACGACAACTCCCTGAAGGATGTTATTGACAACGTTCAAAAGATCATTATTGCCACCTACGACGAGGTCACACAGTTCATAGAGAACTTTAGAAGCAAGTACCATGCCCTGTTCTCGTGGGAGGAGCGTGAGGCTCTGAACATCTTTCTGGCCGAGCCGCATGAGTTCGAGGAGTACTTTGCTCGGATCGACATCTACTACGAGTTTATCAATATGCTCCGCAGCGAGCCAGCGACCGAGTACTTTGTGATGGCCATCATCCACAACGAGCCTGCGATCCAGGGCCTCCGCAATTTGGCAGAGAATTTGATTGCCGAAATCACCGTCATCATTATACGAGAGCACATCAAGGCTGAGGAGGAGATTTGCGAGGAGTTCGAGAAGATTAAATACCGCGCTCTAGAGATACCAAAGTCCACGGAGGAGCTACTTGAGAGCGCCGACTATATGATCCATGTAAAGACGGTGAAGCTTGCCGAGCTGACGGATCGCATCCATTACTGCCTCCAGGTGGGCACCAACATTGTCGAGCTGAGGGAAATGTCCAAGTATCATTTCGATCTGACTATCAAGACCATCACCTGGATCAAGGTCATCAACGAGATATGCGAGTACAACGCCTCCCAGCAGGAACAGTTCAAGTTCCTCTTCGAGGAGCATCTGCAGGAGGTGGTGAAAAAGCTTAATACTGATATTGAGGAAATGCTGCCCAAGTTGGCCATCATCGACGATATGAGCAGGCCGGAGAAGTTTCGCGACAGCTATATAATCCTGCAGAACTTTATTGATCAGCTGAAAACCTTTGACGACTACGTCGCCTGGATTAACAAGGAGGAGAAGCTATTCAAGGTGGCCCAAACCGAATATCCCACGCTGGAGGTGATCAAGTCCTTTGTCTATCCATTTGCAGAGCTAATGAAGTGAGTACTGTCACACATAGACACACATATATAGCACCAAAGACCATCAAATTACCAAGACTCTCTGTTGCAAACAAAGCCCATCCCATCCCAGTTGTCATTGGAGAATTTTGATGGTTTATGTTCCCTTTTGATATCCACAGATGTTGCATTGACTGGCAGCGCTATTTGAACGTGTGGCGGGATGGACCCTTTGAGTATTTGGAGCCCAAGTTTGTTGAATCGACAACCGACAATTATTTGAAGGAGTTCCAGAAGAACCAGAAATACTACCGCGTCAAGATCAAACAGGATCTCATTGACAATCCCGTTTGCAAATTTAAGGTGGGTCAAAAATTGCAACATATGTGTGCAAAAGATCGCTAAATCGTATAATTGCAGGGTCAAACTGAAGATCCCGATCCGGCTAAGCATCCAGTGCCGTTGCGGCTGTGCACTTCGATGATTCAGTCCATCAAAGACTTCACCACTGGTGTCTTTGTGGTCAACATCATGTGCAATCCGGCTCTAAGGAAGCGCCACTGGAAGGAGATGTCTGAAATTGCCGGCTTTGATGTCACACCGGATGCGGGCACTACCCTGAGAAAGATTCTCGACTCTGGACTGGATAGCATTCTGGATCAGTTTGAGATCATCAGCATCAGTGCAAACAAGGAGCTGCAGCTGTGGAACGCCCTTCAGGCAATGATCAAGGAATGGGAGAACAAGGTCTTCCCCACGGGCCCATACAAAGAGACGGGTGTGACGATCCTTAATAGCCTGGACGACATCCAGGCGCTGCTCGACGACCACATTCTCAAGACGCTGACAATGCGCGGCTCGGCGTTCATGAAGCCCTGCGAGGAGGAGGTGCGCGCCTGGTACGAGAAGATAATGCGGGTCAACGAGACGCTTGACCAGTGGGGCAAAGTGCAGGCCAACTACCTGTACCTGCTGCCCATTTTCTCCTCCAAGGACATCGTGGCTCAGATGCCGGAGGAGGGTCGCCTGTTCACCATTGTGGAGCAGACCTACACCCGCAACATGGGCCTGGTGCTGCGCCAGCCGCTGGTGATGGAGACGGCACCAGCATCTGGGCTGCTGGAATCCTTGCAGAAGGCCAACGAACTGCTCGAGGATATATCGACGGGTGTGAGCAATTACCTTGAGAAGAAGCGCCTCTTCTTCCCGCGATTCTTCTTTCTGGCCAACGACGAGATGTTGGAGATCCTTTCGGAGACGAAGGATCCGCTGCGCGTGCTGCCGCATCTGAGCAAATGTTTCGAGGGCATTAACAGCCTGGAGTTCGACTCGAGCAAGAATGTCCTGGCAATGATCAGCAGCGACAAGGAGCACATTGAGTTCATAGAGCCTGTCTCCACGATGGCTGCCGGCGGTAGCGTGGAAAAGTGGCTCATCGGAGTGGAGGACGAGATGCTGAAGGCGGTTCGCAACCAGAACGAGCTCTCCTTCGGCCACTATCCCAAGGTGAAGCGGCATGAGTGGGTGCTGGAGTGGCCCCAAATGGTGGTGCTGGCCATCTCGCAGGTATACTGGGCCGCCAAAATGCACGGCTGCCTGCGTCGCACTTTCGGCACCAATCAGGCCGTTATGGCCAACTTCTTTCAGGAGCTGTCCAAGGAGTTGAACGACATTGTGGCCCTCGTGCGTTCGCCCGTGATCAGCAACCTCAACAGGATCACCATCAAGTCCCTGATAGTCATCGATGTGCACGCCAAGGACGTCACCGAGGAGCTCATTCGGCTGAAAATCAACAGTGAATACGATTTCCAGTGGCTAGCCCAGATGCGCTACTACTGGGAGGATGAAAAGACTCTGGTGAGGATCATAAACGCCACCGTACCTTTCGCCAACGAGTATTTGGGTAACTCGGATCGGCTGGTGATCACCCCGCTCACGGACCGCTGCTACCGCACCCTGGTTGGCGCCTACCAGCTCCATCTGAACGGAGCCCCAGAGGGTCCTGCGGGCACCGGCAAGACTGAGACCACCAAGGACCTGGCCAAAGCCCTGGCCGTCCAGTGCAAGGTCTTCAACTGCTCCGACGGACTGGACTACAAGGCCATGGGCAAGTTCTTCAAGGGCCTGGCCTCGTGTGGCGCCTGGGCCTGCTTTGACGAGTTCAACCGCATTGAGCTAGAGGTGTTGTCGGTGGTGGCCCAGCAGATTCTTCTCATTATCCAGGCGGTGCGGGCCAATGTGAGCAAGTTCATGTTTGAGGGCACAGAGCTGATGCTTAATCCCGCCGTCTACGTCTGCATCACCATGAATCCCGGCTACGCGGGTCGCTCGGAGTTGCCCGACAACCTAAAGGTCCTGTTCCGATCCGTAGCCATGATGGTACCGGACTACGCCATGATCGGTGAGATATCCCTCTACTCGTACGGATTTGTGGACGCCCGCAAGCTGGCCGTCAAGATCGTGACCACCTACCGGCTTTGCTCGGAGCAGCTGTCCAGCCAGAACCACTACGACTACGGCATGCGGGCGGTGAAGACAGTTCTCTCTGCTTGCGGCAACATCAAGAAGCAGTATCCGGACGAGCTGGAGGACATCCTGCTGCTGCGCAGCCTGATCGACGTGAATCTGCCGAAGTTCCTGTCATTCGATGTGCCGCTCTTCGAGGGTATAATCTCGGACATCTTCCCGGGCATCAGTCTGCCGCACATCGACTACAGTCTCTTCGAGACCGAGTTCAAGCGTGTCTGCCTGGAGGAGGTGCTGGAACCAGCCCCATCATTCCTCACCAAGGTCATCCAAACGTACGAGATGATCATTGTCCGGCACGGCTTCATGTTGGTGGGCGAACCGCTGGCAGGCAAGTCCAAGACGCTGCAGGTCCTGTCCAAGGTCATGTCTGCGCTGAAGATTAAGGCTCCGCAAAAGAGCAGCTACTTCCAGCACGTGCTGATGGGCATCATGAACCCTAAGTCAATCACCATGAACCAGCTATACGGCTCCTTTGATCCCATATCCTACGAGTGGACCGACGGCCTGGTGGCCAAGATTTTCCGCGAGTTTGCCATGACACCCACGCCAGACCGCAAATGGGTGATCTTCGATGGTCCCGTGGATGCTGTGTGGATTGAGAACATGAACACGGTGCTGGACGACAACAAGAAGCTGTGCTTGACCAGCGGCGAGGTGATCACTATGTCGCACGAAATGTCCATGATCTTTGAGGTGATGGATCTGGCCCAGGCATCGCCTGCCACCGTCTCCCGCTGTGGCATGATCTACATGGAGCCCTCGACGCTGGGCTGGCGTGCCTTCGCTAACAGCTGGCTGAAGAAAGCAGATCCGCGGTGGGCCGACGAGGAGGGCGTCGAGTATGTGTCGGCCATGCTGCAGTGGCTCCTGCCACAGTGCCAGACATTTGTCCGTCGTAATTGCAGCCAGTTCGTCCGGTCGGGGGAGTTCAACTGCATGCTGACGACCTTTGACCTGATCGACATGCTGCTGGACGAGGCCATCGAAGAGAACCCGGAAGATTACCAGAAGTACATCGTGGGCTACTTCCAGGCCGCCATTTTGTTCGCCCTGGCCTGGGGCGTTGGCGGAATTCTGGACACGGCCTCGCGAGACAAATTTGATGCGTTTTTGAGAAAGGTAAGGAGTTGAATAACACCGTTCCACAGTGGTTTTCTACTTTGCACAAGACTAAATTTTAGGCTGTAAGATTAGGCTGATTGGTAAGATCTCATGATCATCTTTAGATCTTACTACGTATCCACCTCTGTTTTAAAAATTCATAAACCGCATGTAGGCGCCTTTCTGCACTTTAATAATTACCACTCGGTATCTACAAGGCTTTGTGTTGTGAAAAGTACAAAGCCAATGTAGTGCAGTATACATATGTATCTTGAAAGATGTACAGATTCACTCCTTTACATTCCTTGGCAGATCTATGACGGTGAGGAGGCAAACCCACCAGAGTTTCTGGGAAAAATGGAGGTGACTCCGCCCGTGGAGGGTCTGCTCGTGGAGTACGTATACGTGTTCAAGCAGCGCGGGACGTGGCGCTACTGGCCGGAGCTGGCCAAGCGCATGGATGTGGAGGAGACGAAGACGGGCGTTATTGTACCGACTGTGGACACGGGCCGCTATGTGCACCTCCTCAAGATGCACGTGAAGCACAAGAAGCGGATGCTGCTAGTGGGCCCCACGGGCACCGGCAAGAGCGTCTATGTGCAAAACTATCTGATGAACAAGCTGAACCAGGAGGAGTACGAGTCGGGTTTCATCACCTTCACGGTGATGATCACGGCCAACCAGTGTCAGGAACTACTCATCTCGAAGCTGCAGAAGTGGAAGCGTGGCATCTACGGACCGCCCAAGGGTATGCAGAGCGTCCTCTTCGTCGACGACATGAACATGCCCGTGAAGGAGGTGTACGGGGCACAGCCGCCGTTGGAGCTGCTGCGCCAGTACTTTGACTACGGGCACGTGTACGATCTGAAGGACGCCTCCAAGCTGTACATCCACGATGTCCTGATCATGGCCGCCTGCGGCTTGCCGGGTGGCAGTCGCCAGGACGTCTATGCCCGCTTCCTCAACCACTTCAATGTGTTCTCTATCAACACCTTCAGCGACGACAGCATGTTCCGCATCTTCCTAAATGTGGCGCTCAGCGGCTTCCGGCGCTCCGGCCACGGCCAGGACGTATTCTTGGTCACCAATCAGATCGTCAGTGCCACCCAGAGCATATATAAGAGCGTCCAGTCCGAGGTACGGGCTACTCCGGCCAAGAGCCACTACGTCTTTAATCTGCGAGACATCTCGCGCGTCGTCACCGGCTGCACCCTGGTGCGCAAGGAATCCGTCAATGACAAGAAGGTGCTTGTGCGCGTGTGGTACCACGAGGCAATGCGAGTTTTCTTCGACCGTCTTGTGGACGACACAGACCGCAAGTGGATGTTCGACAAGCTGAACGACTGCCTGAAGGCCAACTTCAAGGACAAGGTTGAGAATATCTTCGACAAGTACTGCGTCCAGGTGGGAGACGAACAGGTGTTTAGCATGGAGACCGCCAACAACGTGTTCTTTGGCGTCTACTTCGACGAAGACAGTGTGCCGGACGAGCGGCGCTACGAGGAGGTGCCCAGCGTGGAGGTGTTCCTAAAGGTGGCTCTGGACAGCCTCGATGACTACAACTCGACACGCCGCTCCAAAATGGACATCACCCTGTTTACCTTCGCCCTGCAGCACTTGAATCGCATCTGCCGCATCATCTCCATCCAGGGAGCGAGCGCATTACTAATTGGTTTGGGGGGATCGGGCCGCCAGTCGCTTACGAAGCTGGCCACCAACATGGTACAGACTTCGTTCTTCCAGCCTGAAATCACCAAGAATTACGGGGCCAATGACTGGCATGACGACATCAAGGTGATCCTCAAGGAAGCGGGGGGAATGAATAAGCACACAACCTTCCTGATAACTGAGAACCAGATCAAGATGGAGCTCTTCCTGCAGGACATCGATTGTCTGCTGAATCAGGGCGAGGTGCCCAACATCTTTCCCATCGACGAGAAGCAGGAGGTTCTGGAGATGGTACGTCTGGCCGCCCAGGGCGGCAACCGCAACATTGACGTGTCGCCACTGCAGGTCTTCTCGTTTTTCGTGAACCGCTGCAAGCAGAAGCTGCACATCGTCCTCAGCTTCTCGCCCATCGGGGATGCCCTGCGTACGCGTGTCCGCCTGTATCCATCACTGGTCAACTGCTGCACCATCGACTGGTATGACAGCTGGCCGGAGGAGGCGCTCCAGATGATCGCCAGAATGTCTCTGGTGGACGTGAACGTGCCCTCCGAGGAGATTAAAATGGCCATTGTCGACACCTGCCAGTACTTCCACACGACAGCAGCCCGGGCCACGCGCGCCTTCTGCCAGTTAAGCGGGCGCCACATCTACCAGACAAACGCCTCCTTCATCGAGCTCATCCGCTCCTTCCAGACTCTCATCGACCTGAAGCAGAGCGAGACGATGTTCGCCAAGATGCGATACATCGGGGGCCTGGACACGCTTGCCAATGCAGCTGCCGCCATCTCCATTATGCAACGCGATCTGAACGCCCTGCAGCCGAAGCTGGTGGCCCTGGCGGAGGCCTCCCGCAAGATGATGCTCGAGATCAACAAGGAGACCCTGGCGGCAAGTGCAGCCGCCGAGCAGGTGAAACGGGACGAGGAGGTGGCCTCCGTGCAGGCCGTAGCGGCGCAGGTGCTGAAGAACGAGTGCGAAAAGGATCTGGCCAAGGCCATTCCCGTCCTGGAGGATGCCCTGGCCGCCCTCAACACACTGAAGCCCGCGGATATCACGCTCGTAAAGTCAATGAAGAACCCACCGTCGGTCATCAAGTTGGTTATGGCGGCGGTGTGCGTGATCAAGGCTATACCGGCGGATCGTGTACCCGATCCCTCGTCGGGCAAGATGGTGCAGGACTACTGGGGGCCCAGCAAGCGGCTGCTGGGCGAGATGAACTTCCTGCCCGCTCTCAAGGAGTTCGATAAAGACAACATTCCGGTGGAGATCATGAAGCGCATCCGCAAAGAGTTCATCCCGAACAAGGACTTTGATCCCAAGGTGGTGGCCAAGGCCTCCAGTGCGGCCAAGGGTCTCTGCCAGTGGATCATCGCCATGGATATGTACGACGACGTGGCCAAAGTGGTGGCTCCCAAAAAGGCCAAGTTGGCCGGCGCAGAGAAGGAGTACGCGGACACAATGAGCTTTCTGGCCGAGAAGCGTGCTCTGGCCGCCGCCCTCGAGGAGAAGGTGGCCCTGCTCAACATAGAGCTGGACAAGGCCAACGAGGAGATGAAGAAGACCGAGGAGCATGCCGAGAACTGTCGCAACAAGCTGCTGCGTGCCGAGGCCCTCATTGGAGGCCTGGGTGGTGAAAAGTCGCGCTGGAACAAAGCGGCCGACGACCTGCAGGAGCTATACGACCATCTGCCCGGCGATGTGCTCCTCTCGTGCGGCATCATTGCCTACCTATCGGCAGTGAATCTGCAGTCGAGGACAGAGTGCGTGAACGACTGGTTCCAGAAGGTGACGAAGCTAAAAATTCCCTGCTCCAAAAAGTACTCCATCACGGAGGTGCTCGGGCTGGAGGTGACAATCCAGAACTGGCAGCTAGATGGCCTGCCCAACGACGAGTTCTCCAGCGAAAATGCCATCATAGTGTCCAGCTCCAGTCGCTACAGCCTCTTCATCGATCCCCAGGGGCAGGCCAACAACTGGCTGAAGAACATGGAGCGCAAGAACCGCCTGAACTGCGTCAAGTTCAATCAGGGCAACTACATGCGTATCATCGCAGAGGCCATGGAGTACGGCACTCCTGTGATCATCGAGAACGTGCAAGAGGAACTAGAGGTGCCTCTGGACCCCATTCTGATGCACCAGACCTTCATCCAGGGCGGCGTCAAGCACATCAGCCTTGGTGAGGCGGTGGTGCCACTGTCACCCAACTTTCGGCTCTATATGACCTGCAATCTGCGTAATCCGCACTTCCTGCCGGAGACCTTCAACAAAGTGACGGTGATTAACTTTGCGCTCACCCAGAACGCACTGATGGACCAGCTGCTGAGCATTGTGGTGGCCAAGGAGCGGCCGGATCTGCAGGAGCTGCGCATCACCCTCACCACAGAGGCGGCGGCCAACAAGGGGGCACTGCGGGATGCCGAGAACCTGATCCTGAAGACGCTATCTGCCAGCGAGGGGGACATTCTAGAGAACGAAGCGGCCATCCAGATTCTGGGCGAGTCCAAGGGCCTATCCAAAGACATCCAGGAGAAGCAGGAGGCGGCTAAAGAGACGTCCGCGAAGATTGAGGCCTTCCGGCTGAACTACAAGCCGGTGGCAGTGCATTCCTCTATTCTGTACTACTCCATCACTGATCTGCCCAACATCGATCCCATGTACCAGTTCTCTCTGAATTGGTATATCAACCTGTACATGTACTCCATCGACACCGCCAACAAGTCCAAAGATCTGCCACGACGCATCAAGTTCCTGGTGGATGGGTTCACCAAGAACTTGTACAACAACGTTTGCCGGTCCATCTTCGAAAAGGACAAGCTCCTGTTCTCATTCATCCTCACCGCTCGCGTCTTGTTGGGCACGGGCCAAGTGGAGATGCGTCATCTAGCACACCTGGTCACCAATGCGAAAGAATCCAGCCACATGCCGCCCAATCCCGATCACAGCTGGATCACAGAGACCGTCTGGCTGAATGTGCTGCGGCTGGAGGAGCTTAAGGAGCTGCGTGGGATTGTGGACGCGTTTCGGAAGAACCTGTCCGCCTGGCAGGCCATCTACGACCACGCCTCGCCGGAGCTGCAACCTTTGCCTGCACCCTGGAACGACAAGACCACTGCCTTTGAGAAGATCATCGTGCTGAAGGCCCTGCGACCGGACTCTGTCTTCCTAGCAGTTCGCAACTTCATCGCCCTCACCATCGGGGATCAGTTCGTGTCGCCGCCAGAGTTTGACATTTCCAAGTCTTATGCCGATTCGACGGCCCTGACTCCACTCGTGTTCATCCTCTCGCCGGGTGCTGATCCACTGGGCTCCCTGCTGGCATTCGCCGAGAAAATGGGCCAGGAGGAGACCTTTCAGAGCATCTCGCTGGGCCAGGGCCAGGGCCCGATTGCCACAGCCCTTATCAAGAGCGCCCAGGAGATGGGCTACTGGGTGTGCCTGCAGAACTGCCACCTGGCCGCTTCTTGGATGCCCGCCCTGGAGTACATGTGGGAGAACATGGACACCTTCAACACCGTTCGTAAGTGAGGGAAAGTCTTTTCCCAATCCTCTTATAACTTTTTTTTTTCCATAGCCAACTTCCGCCTCTGGCTGACTGCCTACCCCACGCCTCAGTTTCCTGTGACTATTCTGCAAAACGGCGTAAAGATGACAAATGAACCACCGACTGGGCTGAGGGAGAACCTGATGCGCTCCTACAACTCGGAGCCAATCAACGAGTACGAGTTTTATGCGGGCTGTGCCAAGCAGGATCGCGCCTTCACTCGGTTGCTGTACGGCATCTGCTTCTTCCATGCGGTGGTGCAGGAGAGACGCAAATACGGACCGCTCGGCTGGAACATCGCCTACGGATTCAACGAGTCTGATCTCCAGATCTCTGTGCTGCAGTTGAGCGTAAGTTTGTATCGATTACACCGTGCGACAGTGGTTTTGTATTTTGCACGAGACAAACCCTAAACAATTGATGGGTTGAAGTGATTTTTGTATGACCCTTCAAAGGATTTATCAGACACTGTCGCACAGTGCTATCATTCATCATGGTTCGCGATACATTTATGGTTAAAATCTTCCACATTCCAGATGCTTCTCAACCAATATGAGCACGTCCCGTACGATGCCATCTCGTATCTGACCAGCGAATGCAATTATGGCGGCCGTGTGACGGACAACTGGGATCGACGCGCGATCGTCACGATTCTGGCGGACTTTTGTAATCCCCAGGTGGTGGCCGACAACCGGTACAGGTTCGCCACAGACGACCGCTACATACTGCCCCGCAAGATGGAGCACCGCGAGATGCTGCGCTACCTGGAGGACAACATACCATCTCTGGCGCCGCCCGAGGTGTACGGTCTTCACGCAAACTCGGGTATAACGCGAGACCTGCAGACCACAAAGACACTGCTGGACTCGATGATCCTGCTGTTGGGCAGCGAGGCGGCGGGCACTGCAGGCGCCGGAGTCAGTGCGGAGCAGATAATTCTGAACACCATAAAGCAGATTGGGGAAGATATGCCGGCGGACATGGACATTGAGGCGGCAGCCGAGAAATATCCCGTGGACTACAATGAGTCTATGAACACGGTGGTGGTGCAGGAAATGGAGCGCTTCCTTAAGCTGCAGAAGGAGATACGGGCTTCCTGCAGGGACCTGGCCATGGGAATCAAGGGCATAATTGTCATGACCCCCGATCTGGAGAATGTCATGACGGCCATGAAATTCAATCGCATACCGCTCAAGTGGATGTCCAAGTCGTATCCCAGCCTCAAGCCGCTGGGATCCTATGTCCAGGATCTGTACAAGCGCCTCAACTGGCTGTTCCACTGGTACATGCACGGCAAGCCACCCACCTTCTGGCTATCCGGTTTCTTTTTCACGCAGGCCTTCCTCACGGGTGCCATGCAGAACTTTGCCCGCAAGTACAAGATACCCATCGACACGCTGACCTTCGACTATGATGTGCTCAAGGTGGAGACGAAGGCGACGCCCCCAGACGATGGCGTCTACTGCAACGGTCTGTTTGTGGAGGGGGCGCGCTGGGATTGGGAGCATAACATGCTGGTGGAACAATACCCTAAGATACTCATCTATATTATGCCCGTCATCTTTTTCCGGCCCGTGCTCATTTTGGACCTAGTTGAGGGAACACGCTATAAGTGTCCCCTGTACAAGACGGGCGAGCGCAAGGGCACGCTCTCCACGACGGGACACTCGACTAACTATGTGGTGCCGCTTCTGCTCAATACCCAGGCGAAACCATCGCACTGGGTGAAGCGGAGCGTGGCCCTCATCTGCCAGACAAACGACTGAGAGAATGGTATTCTCAATACATGTGTGTGTTTATTAAACATTGTTCAAAATTAATAAAATAGGTATATGCTTGCTTATTCTTTACAAGTACAAATTCACAGCATTAAAAACGCTTTTAAAAACAAAGGAGACTACGGCCACGGCCCGCACCACATCTCGAATATATCTATCTGCAAATGCGAGCCCCGAACTTTAAAAGTGCAGCCCCGCACTCGCTCTACTCGAGATGATAAATATTGTAACTATGCTTTGGATGGTGGTGGTGTGGAGTGTGGATGTCTGCTATGGGCCTATTGCGTGTTGCAGCCCATGGGGTCTGTGCGAGGATATCCTTCCCCACTGGTGTCCGAGCTGTTGCTGTCACGACGCCGATACATGGAACTGGTGTCGCTGGCGGAGCTGGTGGCGCTGCTAAAACTCTGTTCGTGCTGTGGCACCGATCCTGGTGGGGCATCTGCAGCACCCTCATTGCGACGACTATGGCGACGAACACGCCAGCGAGCTCTGGTGGAGGGATCCCCCATGACTTGACGAAAAAATATTTCGCTGGCGAAATCGTCACCAACGGTCTCCAAAATGCTGCGACGAAAGTTATTATAGAGCGTATCCCGCAGACCCTCCGGTTTTGGCACGTGCTGCAAACAAAATAATATACTTTACTGAATTCTACCAATTCCGGCTGTGAGCTGAACACTTACTTTTCCGGGAACATCGGGGGTCCAGATTTTGACATTATGCTCTAACCCAGACGTGGCCAGCACTGGCATCCAGGGATGCGGTTCCAGGCAGTTAATCACCCCCGCAATATCACCCTTCATGTAGTTGATGATGGACTCTGTGTTCCTGTCCCAAAAGAAGATGTGGCCGCAGTCGCTGCCACTGATCACGTACTCGGATCGTGGTCCAAAGAAGTTAACGCCCTTGATGGTGCGATGGTTTCTGTATGCCAGGCGGCGGTGAACAGGAGAACAGAGCAAAATAATCTAGGGGGTGAGCTCTCTGAGAGATGAACTGTCACTTACACGTGCCCTTCGTAACAGTGAAGAGTATCGCCTTCCTTGTAGTTGCGGCTGTCATAGAGAAATATTCCGGCATCGCTGTAGGAAGCTAGGATTTCGCTTCCGCTGTGATTGTAAACGGCGCAAGTGATGTGCGTCATCTTTGTCTGGGAACGAGAAGAGGACACAAATGAAAAGGCTCACGTTTTGGCGGTAGAACTACTAACCTCCCGAACGCCTCGGGGGGTCATCTCGTGAATGGGACTTGGTAGCTTGCGTTTGTCGTAGACACGAAGATTGTCATCAGTGCCGCTGACACAAAACTCCGGCGCAAACGGATGATGGGAAATGCTAAAAAGACGTACGCGGCTCCGTTGCCCCCGTCTGTTGTGATCATTGTGGGTGCAGTGCAGCATGGTGTTTGCAGATTTACTGGTGCGGAGATCAAAGTGCTTAACAGTCCCATCCTCGCCGGCGCTCATCACCTCGTGCTTGGTGTGCGGAACCACCACGATCTTATGCACTGCATCGGTGTGCGCGTAGAGTCTTGTGGGCTTAGTGTCGCCCCCGGATGGAGGGATGACGGCGCGTCGCACCTGGCCATCGCGACTGGTGGACACAATGTCTAAGCATCCGGCACTGTCAATGAACTTTGTCTGGAAAATGTTCGCGTGGTGGCCCGATTTGAAGATATGCAATGGCTTGTTGTTGGCCCAGTCCCAGACTATGATTCGTGTATCGTCGGAGCCAGAGCAGAGCAGATCCCCGGCCCGATTGAAGTTAAGGCAGTTCACACAGCCCTTGTGTTTGATCATCGTATTCCAGAGCGACATCTGCTCCACGACATGCCTGGACCCGTAGAAGCCCCGCCCGAAGCTATCGACAGAGGTGTGGCCGCCGCGCCACCCAATTCGATTGATGATGTTGTGCTCGCGCTGCATCAACTCATGGGCCGAGTTCCAGGTGTATGGCGGTTTATCCTTGTACATGATTTCGTTTACGGCGAAGTCAATGTTCTCCCAGTCAGCCGCATTTGGCTCCGGTTCAATCCAATCACTATGATCAGCCTAGTGCCCCATGAAAAAGAGAGTTCAGCGAATAGAACAGAACAAAAGAACTTTTTATCGAACTTACCATTCCTCCATCACTGGAGGTGTTGCTTGTGGAACTGTCGTAATGATTCCAAAAGTCATCCTCCATGCGACTGTTAGTGTCGCCATCACTCGATGTCGGTTCGTCGTTGGGGTTGGGGACTACCGCCTCTGCGGTTTCCTCGGTTTCTTCATCTACACTGGGAAGCACTGGAGCGACAGCCGCCTCACTATCGCTGCTGCTCTCTAATGTGGCCACAAGTTCCACGGTTATGCGGCGATATGAACGTGTGGATGGTATGTTCCGCTGGTTGAATGTGGGCGAAGTGTCTGCATTGGAAGTTCCGGGATTCACTTCAACGTCTGACGGATCATCATCGCTGTCGATGGTGTCACTGGTATTGGGCACAATATCAGAGGCAAGCACGGCACTGGCTGCCGCTGGAGACAGCGCACCCTGCACGAGTGAAATCTTTTCGTCCTCCTCCTCTGGCGGACTCATCGATTCGTCGTTGCCCTCTGCTTCCTCCCCCTGTAGCAATATCTGTTTGCTGCTCATGCCTCCCTCTTTGTTGCTATCGTCGTCGTCATCGACGTCGTTGTTATAATGCGTTTTGCTGGTGTTGGTGCTGCTGTAGGTTCCTATTTCAGTCTCGCTTATGACTGCAGTTTTCTCTTCGCTGCGTTTTGCCCAAGCCCAAACAAAAATCAATCAATAGCTACGCACTTGTTGGAAGGTAACCTCATCTACTCACCAAATTGGTGCTGTGGAGGCCTCCATGTCCATGGTCGCATCTCCTGCAGCGGAGCGGCTGCTGGAGCTCTCATCTTCGTCTCCTGAATCATGGCGCTTCTGGCGCTTGCGCGCGGATGCCGATTTGGCAATGGTATCCTCATCCGGATCCATCCTTGCAGCGTCAAAATTTTTCAATTGTTCTCTCGCTCTGACAAGTAACCTTTTTCAACTTAACGATTTTGGGTTTTCTTTATTTTTGTTTATGTCCGATAAGTATATACTTCATGATGATTGAAAGAACTTAACCCACTTATCCCCCCTATATCTAAGTAGGGGAACAACTTGAGTTAAAATAATACCGTATGTACATTGTTCTTGTAGATACATACTTTGCCCTTGCTTAAACAAAAATTATCGCAATATATTTTACCTGTGCTAAAATGCAGGTTTAATTATTTTCTTAGCCAGTTCTACAATGGGTTTATTGTTCTCTGTCCATAATCGGAAATCATATTCCTCGATTTTGATATTAAGTTGAAGCTAGCTAGGACCCTCAGCCCTGAACACATAGTTTTATCCCATTGATTAATCAATTCTTTACAAGGTTGGCCAACTCTAAGTACCACTTTTTATTGTATTTTGTCTAAAATAAGGTTTAAACAAGAAAGGTCAACAAAAATTTCCAGTTTGTACATGATAACTACACGCTATCTACTTAGTAGGTACATATGAACTACATAATTATGCAGTATAACATTTAATGCAATCAGACGTGGTTGGTAAAGAAATTTTTTTATAAGCAAATTTGTTTTTCCAACATTCCATAATTTTTTCCCCAAATTTAATAGGTTTTAGAGATAAGGAACCAATCATCTATTGCATACGATCAATTTCATTTTTTTACACGGCCTATTCTACACGGTCTTTTCTGGAAACAATCTACCGTTTAAAAACAGAATAAGTTGAAGACGTACATTCAAGGTACATTAGGCGAGAAGGGTGTGTTTTACCTTGCATACGTTGCGTTTTTGGGGCCGTTTTGCCTGTTGTCCACACCCTCTTTTTCCTCCCACTATGTAGCAAATGTGTAGTAACCGTGTAGAGTTGCCAACATGTAATAAATTGAGCAAAATGTAAGCACGTTGCCACCAAAATACAAGTGCCACGCAAAATCGCTGCAAAAATATACATTTTTTTGATTCAAAAGGTGAGATATAACATTTGAATATGGCTTCTACTTAAACTACGGAGTTTTGCAGCTATGGGAAAGAAACTGCAGCGGAGTGACGTTTGCCGAGTGCCGGAAAATATAAATTTCACGGCCGAAGAGGAGAATGTACTTCAGCAATGGCGTGACGAGAAGATCTTTGAAAAGTGCAGCCAGCTGTCAAAGGGAAAACCCAAGTAAGTATTTCCGACTATTGCATCAGCCGCACTTTTTCAATATACTTACTAAATATGCACATTTATGATGTAGGTACACATTTTACGATGGTCCGCCTTTTGCTACCGGCTTGCCCCACTACGGCCATATCCTAGCCGGCACAATAAAGGATATTGTAACACGCTACGCCTATCAGCAGGGATACCATGTAGATCGGCGCTTCGGCTGGGATTGCCATGGCCTTCCTGTGGAGTTCGAGATCGACAAGCTGCTGAACATCCGCGGGCCTGAGGACGTGGCCAAAATGGGCATCACTGCCTACAACGCCGAGTGCCGGAAGATTGTCATGAGATATGCGGATGAGTGGGAGAACGTTGTCACTCGTGTGGGTCGGTGGATAGACTTCAAGAACGATTACAAGACTTTGTATCCTTGGTACATGGAGTCCATTTGGTGGATCTTCAAGCAGCTCTTCGACAAAGGCCTGGTATATCAGGGAGTTAAGGTCATGCCCTATTCGACCGCCTGCACAACGTCACTCTCTAACTTCGAGGCAAACCAGAACTACAAGGAGGTGGTGGATCCTTGTGTGGTGATCGCCTTAGAGGCATTGGCACTGCCAAACACCTTCTTCCTCGTGTGGACCACAACGCCCTGGACTCTGCCGTCGAACTTTGCCTGTTGTGTACATCCCACCATGACCTATGTGAAGGTATGTTAACAGCGCAACTGATGTAAATTATGTAAATTACTGATTCAAATTATATTTCCTTGCCTATTCAGGTACGTGACGTGAAGAGCGATCGGCTGTTTATACTCGCGGAGTCACGGCTGTCCTATGTCTTCAAAACGGAGGCGGAGTATGAAGTGAAGGAGAAGTTTGCTGGCAAAACTCTCAAGGATCTGCACTACAAGCCGCTGTTTCCGTACTTTACCAAACGCGGCGCCGAAGTGAAGGCCTACCGCGTCCTGGTCGATGAGTACGTTACGGAAGATTCGGGTACAGGAATTGTCCACAATGCTCCATACTTTGGCGAGGACGATTACCGCGTCTGCTTGGCGGCCGGAATCATCACAAAGTCTAGCGAGGTGATTTGCCCCGTTGACGATGCGGGTCGATTCACAAAAGAGGCCAGCGACTTTGAGGGCCAATATGTGAAGGATGCGGACAAGCACATCATGGCCAATTTGAAGGCGAGCGGCAATCTGGTATCCAGTGGTCAGGTGAAGCATAGCTACCCCTTCTGTTGGCGATCAGATACTCCGCTGATCTACAAGGCAGTGCCCTCGTGGTTTGTGCGCGTCGAGCACATGTCCAAGAATTTGCTGGACTGCAGTTCCCAGACTTATTGGGTGCCCGACTTTGTAAAAGAGAAACGATTTGGAAACTGGCTGAAGGATGCCAGGGATTGGGCTGTGAGTACAATATTCTTTCTACATTTCTAATTTCTTAATCGAGCTGCATCAATCCCTTCGTTTAAGATCTCCCGTAATCGCTACTGGGGTACTCCAATTCCTATCTGGCGGTCGCCCAATGGGGAAGAAACCGTGGTTATCGGCAGCATCAAACAATTGGCGGAACTTTCCGGAGTTCTCGTAGAGGATCTTCACCGTGAGACCATTGACAATATTGAGATACCATCGGCTGTTCCCGGAAATCCTCCACTGCGACGCATTGCCCCCGTTTTCGACTGTTGGTTCGAGTCCGGGTCGATGCCGTTTGCTCAGCAGCATTTCCCGTTCGAGAACGAAAAGGACTTCATGAACAATTTCCCTGCTGACTTCATAGCGGAGGGTATTGATCAGACTCGCGGCTGGTTCTATACGCTCCTTGTGATCTCGACGGCGCTGTTCAATAAGGCACCGTTCAAGAACCTCATCGCAAGCGGTTTGGTACTAGCTGCCGACGGTCAGAAGATGTCCAAGCGCAAGAAGAACTATCCCGATCCCATGGAGGTCGTCCACAAATATGGAGCCGATGCTCTGCGGCTGTACCTTATTAATTCTCCAGTGGTGCGAGCCGAGAGTCTGCGCTTCAAGGAGGAGGGTGTGCGCGACGTTATCAAGGATGTGTTCCTTCCTTGGTACAATGCCTACCGTTTCCTACTGCAAAACATCGTGCGTTACGAGAAGGAGGATTTGGCGGGCAAGGGCCAGTACAGCTATCAGCGGGACCGCCATTTGAAAAATATGGATCAGGCTTCAGTTATCGATGTGTGGATACTGTCATTCAAGGAATCTCTTCTTGAGTTCTTTGCGACCGAAATGAAGATGTATCGTCTGTACACAGTCGTGCCCAGACTTACGAAGTTCATTGATCAACTAACCAACTGGTGAGATCTGTTATTTCTTTTTGACTGGACTGGCGCATAATCCAATAATGATTCTTCATTTTAAGGTATGTGCGTCTCAATCGTCGTCGCATCAAAGGAGAGCTTGGATCAGAGCAGTGTATCCAGTCGCTGGACACGCTCTATGATGTTCTCTACACGATGGTCAAAATGATGGCCCCTTTCACGCCCTACCTTACGGAGTATATATTCCAGCGGCTGGTCTTGTTCCAGCCACCTGGCTCCTTGGAGCATGGCGATTCAGTCCACTATCAAATGATGCCCGTTAGTCAACAAAAATTCATTCGGAACGACATCGAGCGCTCTGTGGCCCTAATGCAGTCCGTCGTGGAGTTAGGTCGCGTTATGCGTGATCGACGCACTCTACCAGTTAAGTATCCCGTTTCGGAGATTATCGTCATACACAAAGACGAGCAAACCTTGGCGGCTATCAAGAGTCTGCAAGACTTTATTCTTAGCGAACTCAACGTTCGAAAACTGACACTGAGCTCTGATAAGGAGAAGTATGGAGTGACTTTGAGAGCCGAGCCCGATCACAAGGTAAGATATTGACTACCTTTTACATAATGAATCATTCTCTGAGTGCGCATCTCTTTTTAGACGCTCGGCCAGCGACTAAAAGGCAACTTCAAGGCTGTTATGGCTGCTATTAAGTCGCTTAAGGACGATGAGATTCAGAAGCAGGTTGCGCAGGGGTACTTCAACATTTTGGATCAGCGCATAGAGCTGGAGGAAGTTCGGATCATTTACTGCACATCCGAGCAGGTGGGAGGAAACTTTGAAGCCCATAGCGACAATGAGGTTTTGGTCCTCTTAGACATGACGCCCAACGAAGAGCTACTGGAAGAAGGCTTAGCCCGCGAAGTCATCAACCGAGTACAAAAGCTGAAGAAGAAGGCTCAACTGATACCGACCGATCCTGTACTTATCTATCATGAGCTTACTCCCAACACCAATGGCAAAAAGGAAACTTTAGAGGCCGAAGGTCAGCTAAAGAAGGTTTTGGCAAGCTATGCATCCATGATCAAGACGGCCGTCAAGTCGGAATTCGCTCCGTATTCAGCTAATCAGGCAGCTAAAAAACGTCTTATCGCTAGTGAGCTGGTGGATCTGAAAGGCGTTCCTTTGAAGCTCACTATTTGCTCTACCGAAGAGTTGGAGCTGCCTAGTCTACCTTGGCTGAACGTTACCTTGGTCGAGGAATTGAAGCCACGCTTCGGCAAAAGCAATAGAGCGTCCCTGTTGCTCCAGCACAACGTTACTAAAGAACTCATTACCTTGCCTACGTTACGAAACGAGCTGGAGCTATTATTTGGCCTGTACGGCGTCAATTATAATATCTATGTCATCGATCAGCAGAAGAAGCTCAGCGAGCTAAAGTCCATCGACATTGGCCTCAGTGGCAAGCTTTTGGTTTTAGCACGCAGCGCGGAAGCGATCCTGACGACATCAGGGTATGAAGTGGCCGCAGCGCCTTACTCGAAATTTGTTAACC